AGGGGGATCTATGGGCAGAGGGAAGGGGGAGGGTTTAGACTTAAGACCTCACCAAAATGGGAAAATATAACTATTTCTTATGGAAAACATTATCTCTAAAAGTATAAAAGTATTATTGTTCATCTAATTACATTTAATAGGACTTCAAGAATCACTTAAACACAATTTCATAAAGGTAGTTAGTTTCTTTCTTTCTTCCGAAGTAATTATCCTAATATATACATACAAAAACAAAAAAACTTTTGAGCTGAAGCCCTCCTCCCCCCCCCTCCCCCTCAAAATGGAATCCTGGATCCGTTAGTGCCTGGAGGTGCCGAGTATAATCAAATTTAATTAAGCCATTTTTGGGGAAAATATTTAAAATCTGTTATTTAAAACTATAACTTCCGGTTACCCGATCTTTGCGAAAAATTTGCTGTAACATCCTTAGGCATATACCAAGTTCTATAACGTAATTTAATCTTTCCTTTCTACAGACTTAACATGCAGTTAATGAGAGCAATAAATATATAACATTAAAAAAATTATTCTAATAATAACTATAACTAACTATCCGTTATCTTTACTAGACTGTTAACTAATATTTAAATAAATAATTATTAATCATTTATTACAAAATTAAGTAAGCAAATAATGACACTGTCATCACTAGAGGATCCAGTATTCAATTTTTTGGGGGGGAGAAGAGCTTCAGCCCGAAAGCTTTTTTTCATAAAAATAACGATAATTACTTTGGAAAAAAAGAAAGAACCTATATGAAATGGTGTTTAAGTGATTCCTAAAGTCCTTTTAAATGTAATTACACGAACAATAATACTTCAAGAGATAATTTTTTTATATTTTTTTCCATAAAATATGGTTATATTTTACCATTACAAAATACCTTCAGGTTATACCTTTAGCCCCAAAGCCCCCTCCCCGTAGATCCGCCCGTGACTGGCATTATTATTGTATCTATTGATGCAGATTTAACTAAAATAACTTGTATAATTAGATCTAGTTTGTAAATAGAATTAGAGAAGGGGAAAATAAGATTTAGAAACTTACACTTCTCTTCAAGTTTTCACCAGCGCTGGCCATTAACCACAGCCAGAATGTATATAGAGAGATCATTATAGTCCGAGATTTCAGGTTGATCACAGTTTTCTTTGCGTACTCGTCTTCAAATCTGAATATCATACTAGAAAAACGATGTACGTTCCAAATATATGTTATGATTATAACAGCAAGTATCATAGCAATTTGAAAAGAATATATTTTCCTCAATTTACTAATTTGATGACAGAGACTTTTGTGCAATTTTATCAACGTGTGCAGCCTGTGTCGGCTATCCGAATCACACTTTTTCGTCAAAGATGAAATAAGCCGAAACCTTAATGCTAAAGCGTTCAACAAGACTGAGAACAGGTGAATGACAATGAAAACACAGTAGCGATACTGGTTCTGTACTTCGAGCAAGAAGCTCAAACGTGAAAAGAAATTGGTTTGAACGTATATGAGATGAAAAACAAAGAGTGTATGTAACATAAAAGATACATTGCTTGGGTAAGAGACATGACATCCGATTGATCGGAGGATGGAGTCCAATCGCTCCATCCCGCGGAAGAAAGATAAGAAGGTCGATCGTCGGAAGACGTAGAGGTAGAGAGTGGATATGACAGATAAGCAACAGAAGAAGAGCCTCACGAGGGTCAAGATATAGCGGGCAGTAGCCACCATTATCACGTCGATGTGTATTTTGGCGTAGCTGAGCGAGTGGTACGTCCATACGAAAACCGCCGCCGCTGACACAACTAGCTCTATGAAGCTGATGCGGAAGTCCTTCTTGAGCGGCCATAGGCAAAAGAGTTTGGAACAGATCATCATGAGGGACACCTGGCGGTACAGCCCTCTGCTTGGTACACTTTCTTCTGCATTTCTCCTTGAGAAAAGTTTCTTCGACTTGAAAATGTTGAAGTGACCCCATGAATGAAAGCGGTTATGCTCGACTACTCTCAGCTGAGTTATAGGAGTCACTCTGTTCGCCATCAGTACCGGTACAGCCACAGCGAACTCTCTTGACGCAACACTTATTCTAACGACTTGGTCAATAGATAGCAAGAGCTGACCGTTAAGGTCTGGATCGATCTCACTATTGTTGCGTTTCTAGTGCCAATGTCAAAGAAGTATACATTACCCTTTCAGAAGTAACCTTGCCTTATATAATGACAGTTCAACATTTTATCCAAGAAATTATTCATTTCACTCATTCAATGATCCATAGAATGATATTTACATAATAATACCGGGCAATGGACCGGTTTGATATTTATTTTAATTAATTAAAAAAATCATTTATTAATCAAATAAGATAAAATAAAAAACACAGTTACAATGGCCAAATAAAGTATTCGTACATCATATTTCTTAGTCAAAAATCTTTTCATTTATGTTCGCAAAATGAAGCAACTATAAACAACAATTGGGAATTTCTTTTTGCATTAATTGTTTAAAAAAATAAAATTTCTATAACTTTGTTGTAAATTTGTATGAAAAATACCAAAATATTCAAATACAAAAAAAAAAAATCGTACATTTAACTAACCCAAAGGAAATATAATAAATATCAGGCTAAATTAATTTTAGTATTTTGTGAGGATCCTTTCGCGGTTATCACAGCATTGAGTCTTCTTGGTCTCCTCTGGTCCAATTTCTGCTTAAGCTTTCTTAAGATTGTTTATTCATTAAGTCATTCCGAGCGGAACAAGAATATTTTCGGATTTTCAAGTCCAGCAGCGCCCATTAATTTTCAATTGGATTAAGATCCGGTGATTGTGGCTGTGTTTTGAGCGTTTTCCGAGCAATATATAACAACCATTCCTTGGTTTTATAGGCCGTGTGCTTGGGATCGTTGTCCTGTTGAAACATATATGTGTCCTCCATTACTAATTCTTGCGCACTTTTATTTAAATTGCATCCCAACACATCCACATATTTTTCAGCATAATCTCTTCAATAAAGGCTAGTTCATAAATTCCTTTGGCACTCATACAGCCCCAAACCATGACTTCACTGTGGATTGTCGATTGTGGGGTCTTTCCTTTTTTCTTCCAAACATATTTTTTTCCATCAGATCCAGATGCATTACACTTGCTTTCTGGTTTATATATTATACTTGGTTTATTTACATGTTCTCGGGCAAACTCCAGCCTTTTTTTCTGTTTATAAAAGGTTTTTAATTACCACTCTACTTCTATAGCCAGCTTCAGGTAGCCGATTTCTCATGGTTTGAGTTTTAAAGATTTCCCATAAGCTGACGCTATGTGATCTGAAATCTCTCGAGCAGTTAATTTGGGATTTGTTGCCACTATACGAACAGTTTCACGAGATTCTCGAAATGCCAACAAGCGTTTTCTCCTTGGGCTTTATTTTCCACCCGTTTTTAAAAAAATTTATAATGTAATGCACTATCGTAGTCCGAACTTTTTTTTCCAATATTCCGCAAACTTAAAACCTTTTGAAAATGTCATCTTGTTTTGTTTTTTCTGTTATTATTACTGTTTTTATGTTTCCGTCATTTTTTGTTATTAAGCTCTGCTGTTCACTTACACAACAGACTTCTTTTTTTTTAATTAATTTATTTATCTGGTTTCAGAGGACCTTAATAGACCTATTTCCATAGAAAACTCGGATTCCAAACTGCTCAGGATCACAATGCTCTCCTTCCTACATATTTCATAATATTTGGCCCAGTTTTTGTGAATCAAAAGTGTTGTAAGAGAAAAAATGCAGAACTACAAAAACTGTTCCAGGATAATGGCGTGGCCAGATTTATCAAGATTGATCGACTTTGCTGGGATGTGTTGTATGGAATGCAGATTCCATGCGGCTATGATGCCTGATAGCGATATTCAGAAGAAGCTCCTCATTGAACAGATATTCGGCAGAAGCCCAATCGGAAGACCCAAACTGTGTTGGACTGATGGTGTGGTGGCTGACCCAAGATCCAAACTTCGTATTTGAGACTGGAAATCAGCTGCTCAGAACAAGAATGACTGGCGAGTGACGCTACAGACGATTTTACCTCACGTGCGTCTTAGAGCCAAAAATTATGATGAGTGAAAGTATACTAAATTCCACAATTATGAATTTTGATTGTCACTATTAATGATTATGGATTTTTAGATTGTTGGAAATGAAATTTAAATAGCAAAGGATAAGCGTTAGCGATTATCTACCTTATTATTAGTAGTAGTAGTACCTATTATTATTATTGTGTACCTACTTATGTACCGTTATTACAAACTCTGGTAAGATAGATGCTGAGATTTCGTATAGAATATCCAAGGCAAATCAAGCATACTACCAGATCGCTGGGAGTATCCTCAGCTGCCATGAAGTGGATAAAAAGACCATGCACGTCTATAAGCCAGTGTACCTGCCTACTATCACCTACGGCGGAGAAAGATGGACAAACATAGTCGCATAACAGCAACAGAAATGCGGTTCTTACGTAGATCGGTGGGAAATACTAGGAGGGATCGCATTATAAACGAAACTATAAGAGAACCACTTGCAGAACAGGCAACAAAAGTAGTTTGGACATCTCTGCAGCATGAACGAGGACATGGACCCTATTAAGGTATTAGAGGCTCGACCCACCGGGAAGAGACCAAGAGGGCGTCACAGAGTTTCATATCAGGAGTTCATGCAGAGGATCGGATGTAGAAGAGGTAAATCCCTCAACCAAATGAAGCGGTTAAGCAGAGACCGGGAAGAGTGGCCCCTCGACGCTAGAAATGGCATTGTGTGGAAGACAAAGATGAAGAAGAAGGAAATGAAACTAGCTTGTCTAAAATTGTTTAACTCATTTTTTTTATATGGTACTTAGGCCGTAATTGATGTCCAGTGTTCAATCAGCAATGCACCTTATGGATGCGCCCGTCAAAGATGCACATATCTTGTACGATTTATGTATATCTTTGGATAAACATTTGGAGGTCAGATGTTTATAGCATCACAGATGATCAATAAACCATGAGTAATTAATATCCTTTTAGTAAACTATGGTTATAATAAGTATAGAATTATGTTTATGACATATCATTGTCAAGAGGAATAGTACAATGGCACTGAGCGAATAAGCACAATGATCAAGTTCACCAGACAATCGCAACTTGCCGAAAGACTACGAAGGTTGGAAACCTTAAAGAGCAAACCAATGAGGCATTTTCACATAAGTGAGTACCAAGAAATTTTATTAATTACAATTCACAATTAATTATTGAATTGCAGGTAGATAACTTATACTTTAATAACAGATGTTTGTTTAAGTAAAAGTTTGGTGTTACTAAAATATTTAAAATATACTGGTGTCATAAATTAATAATCAAATAATTTATTTAGATTAAAATCAAATCTGTAATATTACTTCACTATTTTAACGAATTACTGGAAGTTAGGAGTTGTTTGAGTCTACATCACCTACCTTAGGCTCCCACTTATGAAAATTATTGGGGAGGAGAGGACAAAACTATATATATCCTATATGACCATATGCAATATACAGGGTGTTTCAGGGTTAAGTGGCCAAACTACAAAAATGAACTAAGGACCTCAAAACAAGAAAAAAATTTGTTTAGGAGATATTCACACCAAAGATTTTCGTTGTTATGAATTATTTATGTGATATGAAATAAATAAAACCTATTTATTTTTTTAACTACTTTATTAATTAAATGTAAATATTAATATTCATATTAAATGTTGTTCAAAGTGATTTCGTTGAGTATTGAGACAGGCTTAGCATGTTTCTTCAACAGCAGCAGCGGCAGAACGGCACTGGATATGTGTTATTGTTTCACAAGATTCAATTGTCCTTATTCGTAAGGAATTAAGGCTATTGACCGGACTTGCATTGACTTTATGTTTAATGTCACCCCAAACAAAAAAATCCAGTGGTGTCAGGTCTGGAGGGATAGTCCTAAAGGGACAACAGTCCCAGAATAATAAAAAAATATTTTCATTTCATTTCATTATTGCTATAAAACGCACATGGATTATCTTGTTTTGGTGATGAAATTCTGTATATACAGGAAAATTATATTTCTTCGGTAGGCAAGTTTAATAATACAACAGACATAAAATTATTCTTGGTAAGCGATTTTTCTATTTTCTATTATATTTTCTAAATGTTCGTTTTTATTTCAGTGCCGGGAGAGGAAAATTTATGCCTCGTTACGAGATACACTAACCAATTAGAAATGGTAAGTATGTTTTTTAATATACTTCAATATTATAATATGTAATCTTTAAACAAAACCATAAAATAAATGGGAATCCAACAAGAGGCAGTTTTTTAATGTTACCGAGGAACGGACTCCAAACACTGTTTAACAAGAGGCTTTCTCGTAAAAATTAACCTTAAAACCATTATATCTTCTTTTAAACCAGGAACATAGTCATCAAATAAAATCAATGTTTTACAAAATAAAACATACTAAAAAACGAAGAGCGGTCGTATCAATGGTAAAAGACCTGCTAATGTTTTCAGCGTAACGTAAATAATCTGCACGAAGAACGGCTAACAATCTAGTATAATATATTAATAACGTAATAACATTGCATCATTTGAAACGGGCATGCAAAGCTGCAAGGAGAGAAAGAAGAAAGAACAAGTGAAAAGATTTTATCAAATCTGAATCCATGGGTTATTTCCAAAAGGCCTTTTGGAAGGATTTTGTATGATGAGATCTTGTGGATTTAGCATTTGGGGAACAGAGACTGGTTGGGAAAGAGCACTAATAACGATGATTGTTATCAGTATTATTATCATGCCTTTAAGCCGTTATTAATTTTATTCTAGAATTATTTATTATTACTCATTTGCCCTTAATGTGTTTTCGCTGCCTCGAAAATAGATGGTGGTTGTGATAGGCTCTAAAGATCCACCATCATCACAGCACTCACAACCATCATATCTCTCATTTAATCCACGATGACACACCACTTAATTATAAATTTGACATAATCGAAACAATTAATTACTTTAATAATATTTCTATCTTAATCCAATCTTTTATAACCAGTTATTACGGATTTTATATGTTATATGGATTTTTAACAGACATTATTTGATGCAGGAAGTTAGAACAGTGATGCCCCCGAAAGAAAATGGTAAGTACTCTACTTAATACACTCAGTATTAATTTATAATTATAAATAAAGTGTTCAATATTTTGAAAAATGTTTGCTATCACTGGGACCACCTGGGCACAGTACGGTACCGATTACTTTAATCTTCCTCTCCTCCCCCTCCCCCCCAAAATAAATGTTTTTAAATTATAACTTGGTCTTTATAATTCTCTTGACATACAACTGCAATGCGTGTCTATTAAATAGCCAATTACAGATGCTGTAAAATATTTTATTGTGATTTCATACAACACATTTACTTATTCATCATCATCATAGTTGGTGCAACAACCCGTTAACGGATCTAGGCTTCCTCCAAAAGTCTCCGCCAGTTGGCTCTATCTGTTGCTGCAGCTCTCCAATTCCTAACGCCGAGGAGATCGCGTGCGTCCGCTGTGACGGAGTCAGCCCACCTCACATTTGGCCTACCCACTCTTCGCTTGCCATGAAGCTCTTCAGCCAATGTCCTCTTAGGAATCTCGTCCTCCTTCACCCTTGCGACGTGGCCCGCCCATCGAAGTCTCCCAGTCTTGATCCACTTGATGATATCAGGATCTCTTGAGAGTTCCTGATTCTTCCTCCTTATCCTCCTTATCGGGCCAAACATTCTTCTCAATATCTTCCGTTCAAACACCAGGAAGGAGGTTCTCATTGGCTCTAGTGAAGGCCCAGGTCTCTGATCCCTACGTAAATACCGGTCGAATCAGGGTCTTATATAGGCCGATCTTGGTCTTGTTGGAGAGGTGTCTGCTTTTGAAGTATTTTGCTAGCCCAAATAGCTTCGATTGGCTGCGGCAGTTCTTCGGTTGATCTCCTGGGATATGTCATTTTGAGTGTTTATTTCTGAGCCCAGATTTACAAAACTTTGAACCCTCTCAAATCTATATGGTCCAACTTCAAAAAAACCTGTCCCTACCTCTGATGGTCCTATTCTTAAATAATTCTACTTATTTACTTATTACCAACTTCAATATACACCCCTCCTCTAGCCCTAAACGCTCCATGTGAATCTTCTATTCGTCTGAAACAGTGTTGTAAGTCTTCTTTTGTCAGCTCCTTCAGGAATTGTGCCACTTCAATCAAAATATTTTTTTTTACGTTAATCTCTTTATTTAATAGTCACAGGTCGCATATACAGGGTGTTTCAGAATTAAGTGGCCAAACTGCAAAAATGAACTAAGGAACTCAAAAACTTTAAACAAATTTTATTTGTTTATTTTCTTTTATTCTCCCTGCGACACTTAAGGAGACAGGTAGTACTTCTTTTATTTCTTTCTTATTTCAGCTTTCTCAATTTCTTCCCTCCTTCCTTTCATTCCTTTTCTCTGTTTTTAACTCTTTATTATATTATACATTGTCTGTACATCTTGGTAGACTTTACAATATCTCAATTTTCTATCTAACTACTCCATTCTCAATGTTTTAATTTTACTATTTATTTTCATTTCTTATATAACTTCATATTTCCTTTTTTATGTTTTACATTTTATTCTAAGATTCCCATTGTAACACTTTTGTCACCCCTTTTTGATTATGCTTACTTCATCATTCCACACTTTGTAACGGTTTTTATTATTTATCTCTTAGTTCTTAGTCATTATTCTAACAATTTCATTTTACTTTATATTTATCTATTTTATTTTTCTATTTTTTTTTTATTTTTTTTTTTTATTTTTTATTATCTTTTTTAACCATCATTACTTATGTTTCTCATACTTTGTTGTCTGGTTATTTTCTTAGCCCTGATGAAGGCCTGAACTTCAGGTCGAAACGTCGGCATATGTAAAAAATAAATATTATCATTTATTTTTGCCTTCCTTTTTGACTGACCACCCCAACTATTCTTCTCTTCATTATCCACGACAGTCAACCAATTACCAATTATAAAGATAAAATAATTATTAATCATTAACAGTTTTTCTTTGTTGAAAAATGTTTCGATTTTATACAAAATCCTGTGGAAAAATATTACATAAAAGCAATAAAATAAATATTAAATTCAATTATTGTTTACTAATAAGTTGAAAATATACTATTATAACTTATAAATAATTTCAATTCATTTTAAAATAACATTGTTTCTAAGGCTGATCTGTTTGTTGGGAAGAGGTTCTCTTGCGAGTGGGGAGCTGTTGCATTTCAAATTATGACTTCGAATATCTGACGAGATTTCACGGCAAAGACCAAAGCTTCGACAAAACGCTGATACTTGGAACATTTGGCACCGGGATTGTGATTAAAGCAGGAACTGGAGTCCAGGGAATGTTTGACATAGGTAAGGAATCAAGTTGGCAGTAAGGTCATGTTAGACTATGTCTTCTATACATGATATTTTATTAAATTAACAATTTCATTTAGAAGCCTTTCATAGAAATAAGTGAAATATTTATAGGTAGGTAAATATACTCGACTGAACAATTATATGGATGAAACAATTTTTTTGGACTTTCAGTCAAGATATTTATATTGGGTTAGCCGAAGTTTCAACCCAAACACGTGAATCATCCTCAGGGCTACCGCTATTGAATTATTTCAAATTTGATAGGGTTAACGAAATTAGCCGCTAAGAGAAGTAGTACTATGTAATGTGACCCCCGTTCCATCCAATAATTGAGTTATAACGATGTCTATGCTTTGGCTATACCAAAATTAATTTTTAAACAAAATTATCACCTCTTGTCTTCAGTCCAGTTCAGAGTTCCGTTAAAGAAAATAACACTAAAATTTGGAATATTGGTAATATGAAACCATTATTGGACTTGTAACATTTCCTTCACCAACGTTTGTTGAGGCTAATTGAAGAATATGGTTATTTATTTATTTAACGGCTCGACAGGTGTCTGAAGCTGCCCTTGGCCCTCTCAACTGCCCTTTCCCAATCATTTCGGTCACCAGCATGTCTGCTGGATACTCCCACCAACGTCAAGTCCTCAGCCACGGTTCCACGTTCCTTCGGTCCTTCCACCTTCCCTTCGGTCTTCCGCGTGGTCTGACTCCATCCGGGGTTCCATAGTATAATTTCCTCACGGCTCTACCTTCATCCATCCCGATAATGTGTACCAGCCATTTTAAGCGTTGAATTCGCACGAAATGAGAAACTCGGATATCGTCGAATAAGTCGTAGATCTCTTTGTTCTTCCTTAAACGCCATGTAACATTCTCTCTAACTGGCCCCATGATGCACCTCAACACTTTTCTTTCAAAACTGTCAATCTTTTCAGCCAGGCTTTTGCGTAGGGTCCAGGTGGCACTGGCATAGGTCAGTACAGGTCGGATTATTGTTTTGTATATAATCATTTTGGTACTCCAACTTAGTAGTTTACTCCGGAGGAAACTTCTTAGGGCGAAATATACTTTGTTAGCCCCCATTACCCGATTTTGAATTTCTTCTTCTTCGTCAACCTGATCATTAACGATGGAGCCGAGTTACTTAAAACTGGACACGCATTGAAACGCATATTGTCCCACTACATAATGCTTAGGCGGATTTATAGGTATTTTCTTCCTGAGCACCATAATTTTTGTTTTTTCCTCATTTATGAACAGCCCCATTCTTCCAGCTTCTCTTTGCAACCTTTCACAGGCCCCCTTGATGGACAGTCCAATCAGTGCCACATCATCAGCATATCCAAGCACTTGAGTTATTTTACCAAAAATGGTGCCCGACTGACTAAGCTCTGTTCTATTCACCACAACTTGGAGGGCGATGTTAAATAGAAGTGGGGAAAGGAGGTCACCCTGCCTAACTCCTGACTTCACTGCGAAAGGTTGGCCCATTTACTTTCACTCGATTCGCGCTCTCATTCAAAGTACACGATACAAGTCGGAATAGCATTGGTGGAATTCCCATCTCTTCTATTGCCAGGTAGAGTTCTTTCCTGATAATGGAATCATAAGCTGCTTTAAAATCAATGAAAAGGATCCATATAATCTTGTTGAATTCTTTTGTTTTTTCCATTATTTGTCTTAAAGAGAATATCAGACATGGTTGCAAGTTATGGTAAGTGTTGTTAACATTACAGGTGACCGTGTAGCTGTTGAACCAGGAATTAACTGCCAAAAGTGTCCTCATTGCTTGGAGGGTTCCACCAACCTGTGTCCTCACATTAGGTACCTCGGCACGGAAGGACTTGATGGTATCCTCTGTAGGTTCATAAATCATCCAGCAGAATTCGTTCATAGGTAAGCCACCTTGATAATTGTAATTTCTTACAGGTATTGTTAGTAAATGACGAGACTGGTCCTGTAAAACAATTTATTTTGATTTCATATATATTTTCTTATTATCAACTTCAATATACACCTCTCCTCTATTCCTGCAATTCACCATGCGAATCTTCCATTGCCTGGAGCAGTGCTGGAAGTCTTCTTTCAGCTTCACCAGCACTTATGTCGCTTTCAGCAAGAAGTGGATTTAATAATATCGATTAATAGTTTTACCTTCAGAAACCCAATGAAAGTGCACAATCGCATGAATATAAAAAAAAAAACAAGAGGCACTAATTTAAATTATGTTTTGACCCTTTGGTTTTCGGTGGAATTGGACTCTTCGATGGATTGGCACTTCCATTTCAAAATCATATGCAAAAAACACGATTTGCAAATCTGCATTAAAAGGAACAATATTTGAGTTTGAGCTGTGGAAGAGAAAGCATCACGCATCCTGAGTCATTTTTGCAGAAAACGCGGGTACTGTTAGCTGACAGGATATAAAATCACCTAATGTTTTTGCACAACTAGAGGTAAATCTAAACGTTTGCCGTAATGAACATCAACTTGATTAATACGGACTTAAAGCATATTAAAGAGGAAATTTTTCTAAAACTGGGGTATCTGCATTAGGGGTGCCTATCCCATCCAAGGTAGATGGCTCAAGAACCTTCCCCCACCTCTTCCCAAGATATTTTATGGCTCACCTTTTCTTAAAAAAAGAGCAGGCTAAGGTAGAATTATTTTATTTTCCTCCCTACCTGCCTTTAAGACAATACAGGAGTTTGCAGCAGTGACTTAATATACATTACTGCATAAAAAATCACAGCTGCAAGTTTATCTTTTGTTTATATACATTATGATAAATTGCTGTGCACACAGCCTGCTTCGTTAATTTTTCTCTCTGATTTCATCTTCCACCATCTTCTTCTCCTGTCCTCATCAGCGGCCTTCCAGGTACTCCTTCTTCGCACCTACCCAGGGAGAAGTGGCTGGAATTAGAAAAATCTTAGATCATATAAAATTCACTTGCTTTGATGTGTTCCATGTTTTCCCCTTGTACCTTAGTCCAAAAATTTATAACCCCATCGAAATTTGTACCCCTCATAAATTCAAAAACTGTCAAAAATATTGTTTATATAAATATTTTTATAGGTATTGAGGTCTATCGACCAATATAAATATTTTCCTCAACTTAAGGTACACCTACTGTGTCATAATTTTTTTTTTTCTTCCAGAGTTATTATAAAAACTCAACCCCCCAAAATTAAATCCTGAATCTGCTATTGGTCAGTAGTTATATTAAACAATCTAGACACTCAATTTTCACCTCAGAAGTCTACAAGAAGATATGGAACTTATATTATATTTTTGTAGATGATATCTTTCATTCTATGTAGTAATTAAAAACTATGACAGGGAAAAACAGATTTCTGGTTTGAAACTTCCCATCTCAATTTTTAAAAAATAGGAGAGAATCACTTTATTATCATAAAAGGGTGATGCCCAATTACATTGGGTTGCTTTAAACACAGCACACTTATTAATCGCTACAGACAATTTTCCAAAACTAATATACAATTATATAGTATTAACTACATGTATGAGCATAATATACAATTTTTTTTTTTTTATCTATATATATATTTTTTTATCATAATTTTTTTTTATATATTTTTTTTATTTATTTATTTTATTTTTACTATTTCTTTCAATTAATATATATATATATATATATATATATATATATATATATCTTATTAATATATATATATATATATATTAATGATTAAAACATCTTTGATTTTATCCTTAATGATTTCAGATTGCCACCTGGAGTTTCTTTAGAACTAGGAACGCTAGCAACGAAAATAGCTGGCTGTGTCCATGGCTACTATCGCTCTAAAGTAATGAAAGATTCAAAAATATTAATAATGGGAACCAGTCTGATTGGATTACTTGCAGTTATGATATATAAACATCTTGGAGCTGGTAGCATATTTGTAGCAGGTATAACAGATAATGTAACAATATAGCAACAATTTATTATGATTCCATAATATTTGAATTAGCATTACAATTATAGAAATGTTCAGCACTGTCTTATTTCAATTACCACTTAAAACAGCTAGAACAAAATTTTAATGAAGTTTTAAAAGAGGTTCATAGTACAGTTGGGCCAATTTTCCAAATTTTACAACAATCAAAATTGAAAAAACCTGTATAAAATATGTCATTGATTCAGCAATAAAAAGGAATAACAATTTTTAAAATATGTCATTGATAGAATAAATTTGTGACAAGTATTAAAAGGTAAATAGATTTTTTTTATAACACTGTAATAAATATTTACGATAGCCATGATTATTTTTTTTAAATATAACTCTATTATTATTTTTTAATAAAACCCCTTTTGATGGAAAATGGGTTTAAAATGAATAATAATATTAGATATGATGTAGTAATAATTAATTTTATTGATTTTTTTCTTGAATGAATTTTGAAGACAGATGTCATAGGTGTAAAATCTAAATTCAATAAAAAATTAAGTTGTATATATTTTTTTTTATTCTCACCTTACTAGCGGTTTCAGTCTATAATCATACCATCACAAATTAGCCTTATGAATATCATATTATAGATCGAAACTGGTAGTAAGGAGATAATAAAAAAAATTATATACAGGAGGACATCTGTTTTTGTTGATTTAGATTTCTCTCCTGTGACATTGAGCCTCAATTCAAGAATTTAATATGTCAATATGTTTGCTTGAAACAAATTTTTGATAAACTTGCAGAAACAAACAACTATAAACTGAGAATGGCCCGAAAAGCTGGTGCAGATTATTTGATAAAATTGGCATCCCTTTACAGTTCCGAATATCCAGAATACCTGATAGAGATCATTGATTCAATAAAATCTGGAAAACCGGACGTAGTTATCGATACAATGGGAACAGCTTCATCACTGGAGAACTCATTTAATGTAAGCTATACATTTCTATCAATAGATAATGTAAATCGTTTCATTATTAACAAATGTTTTCAATAATATCTTTGAAATTAATCAACTGACACATATTTTAATAAATTATCTTAGAACAGGGGAAGAAATTAATTTTTACCTTTAAACAAGTTAAATTTATCATTGGTTTAATGTTCAAAAAGCAAATGTTAAAAAACTACCATTTTGAAATTCTTGTAACAGTTTGATTATTTCCTTTAGTTACTGTGTTAAGATTACAGATCTCATCTATCACCCATAGTTAAGATAATTAATCATTTCAAAATGCCTTTCGATGAAAAACTTTAAAAGTATTCTAATATTAGTGTTAGCTAAAAAATCATAGTTTTTTTTTATACTAATACTTATAGATGCAATACACATCATATACTAATTGCTATAATAATACGATACACAAAAAGAAAATTGTATTTTCAGCTAACCAAAAGCGGAGGAAGAATATTGCTGATGAATCGGATGTCTAGACCCATCGAGGCAAAGTTCGTTCATACCACCCTAAGGGAAATTGATGTAGTAGGGGCTTATTCTTACACTCATTCCAGGTATACCTCAGTAGGTTAGAATAGTCAGAAATAAACATGTAAAATGTATCTATGGAAAAAAAAACAATAAGAAATAAATAGAATTTTGCATCATATCACTGATGTTACTAGAAAAGGTTGTATGTAAAAGTTGAGTTTTTTTTTACAGAAGAGCATAAAAGCTGATTATTTCTTTAAGATTTATCAGTAAAATTTCATATTTTATTTCCCTTTGCTGTTTTTCATAGTTGCAGATTACTTATTGCAGTTGTAGATTACAAAATGTCACCTTTAACACAAATAGAATAAATATGGAAAATTCTTGCAAATTATCTTTTGCAAAAACATTAGAGATATTTGTATTTAAACTATTAATGATTTAAGCATATCTGTAGAATGGCAAGTATGTTTTGAAATATATTTACAAATGGTGTCTCCAAGGAGATATATATATATATATGTCTTTATAGTTTAAATATTTATTTAATATTTAACAACGTTTCAAGCAGTTTGCTCATTTTCAAGTCATCTACAAATAGTCACAAAAACATTGTTAGTAATAATCATTAATATCTAATGATAATCAATTATTTTTTTCAAAATGAGGGCTTGTTTTAAGTGTATGTTATGAAGCAGTTAATTCTTCAAATTATATTGTTGATTTTCAAGTCAGTTGTAATAAAAATAGCTTATAGCCCATGGTACAGATCCCTTTTTATTGAATTATTAACATCTGCCTGAATTTTGGTAAATAGTTTCATATCATTCATAACCTGCAATTATTTTATTTACAAAAACTCTTCGAATTGGGGCGTTTTCAATATGGAGGAGGGCAAACTTTGTCTATTTCATTAGGTACTAAAAGCTCGTAAATACCCATTTGCTTTCCACCTGAATCGTATGATAATTTGAGCACAAAATAAAGAAAAAAGGTGGCCTTAAAAAATAATGAGCCGCTTGGCATAACCTATACTCCCAAATTGTCAAAATAACGAGGTTATATAGGACAAACGCCACCTTTTTTTCTTCATTTTGTGCTCAAATTATCTCACGATTCAGGTGAAAAGCAAATGGGTATTTACGAGCTTTTAGTAGCTAATCAAATAGACAAAGTTTGCCCTCCTCCGTATTGAAAACGCCCCAATTCGAAGAGTTTTTGTAAATAAAATAATTGTAGATTATGAATGAGATGAAACTATTTACCAAAATTAAGGCAGATGTTAATAATTCGATAAAAACGGGTCCGTATGGTATTTAAACCTGAAAAAATACTGTGTGAAAGTGGATCAAGTAAACAATAGTGTATTTTAATTATCTAATGATGACCAATATTTAAATGTAGATGACAAGCACTGACAACTATGAGCATACAATTTCTCGATGTCATGAAAGATGACATTTTCTTTTTTTTAAATAAATAGATGAAAAAACTCTGTATTACAATAACTCACAAAGGGTCTTGGGTTCAGTACTTTGTAAGGGAATATTATTTTCAGAACAAAGATTGTACAAGGAGATGGATTTGGCCAGAATTATACTTAAATGCCAGGTTTTTCTCTCTGATAATATAAGAAAATAAATAATTGTGGATTTATGTTTGACTGCAAAGCATAATCGAAGAGAATGGTTGGGGTGACCAGTAAAAAAAATAAAATAGATAAGTACTTTTATTTTTGCCAACGTTTCGGCCTAAAGTTCAGGCCTTCATCAGGGCTAATCAAACAAAAGGATTCTGTAAGACCTTTATTTTTATAATTTTTTTTTTACAAATCACTCCAACCATTCGCCCCTTCAAGAGAATAAATAATTATCTGTGACAACTCTTGAATCTAGAAGATAAGAACACACTGCCTTACTCTCTGAGCTACATTACTCTTCTGACATTTATTAAGGGATCATCCGCTATCACTTTTATAGAAATTGACTGTGAATTTAGGATGTCCTTTGTCATTTATCTATTTATTTACTTTAGTAATATTTGTGCCATTATCTTCTTTTGTTGTCTGATTTTTCAAGGTAAGTGGCGTTGTGTTGTGGTGCGAGTGGTGGTAGGCGGTGTTTCGGCAAGTCATATAAAGTCCTATTTTGTTCTTTAGTCCTTGTGAATTATGTTTTGGTATATTGGTATTGGTTTAAATGGGTATGGGGGTAAATGAGGGTGGGGTTGGTGTTGGGTTGGGGTGTTTTGGGTGTTATTTTTATTTTGTGTGTGGGGGTTGTTTTGTTTGATATTATATTGTTGTATGGATGGTTTGTCAGTACGAAATGTGGTTTGGTGATTTGGAGGGTGTTTCGGATTACAGTTGTTGTTTGGGTGTGATAGATGTCTTTATTGTATCGGTATAGATGATGATTGTTTTTGGGGTTTAATATTTGTTGTGGTGTGTGGTATTTGAGTGGTTGGTGTAAGTTTGGGGGGTAAGTTGTTTTTTTTATGTTGGGGTATGGTATAGTTTTTTGGTTTGTTAGTGGATTTTTATTGTTTTTTGTGTGGATATGATGAAGTTTGATATGTGGGGTTGGTTGAGAAAAGGAGAATTTGTGGGGAGTGTTGGGGTGTGTTGTTTTTGTGTTATTTTTTGTGTTATTGGTGGTTGTGTGATGATTGTTGGGAGGTAGGGGGTTATTTTGTGTGAGTAATGATTTTGTGGTGAGTGATGAGGTTGGTTAGAGTGTGGAGGTATGAGGTATGTTGTTTTTTTTAGTTTGTTATTGTATGATTGTTGGTTTGTGTGGGTAAATGTAGGTGGGTATGATTAATGTGTTGGGGAATGAGTGTTTGGTGGTATGGAAGGTTTGGTTAAGTGGGTAGTTGGGTTTTTGTTGTGTGGATGATTATAAAGGTGTGAGGTTGATTTGTGTGGAAGGGAGGGGGATTTTAATTGAGTATTGGGTTTTGGATTGGTGATATTAAGGTTTGGGTTGTGTGGGGGTGAGTTTAAGGTAGGTGGTGTAAATTAGATGTTGTGTAGTTTATGTAGTAGGGGTGGGTGTTGGAATATTTAATTGTATGTGTATTGTTTTTATAATTTTTATTATTTGGGTGTGGTGGTGATGTGATGGTGTGGTGTTATAATAGTAATAATGTTTGTTGGGGTTGTGTTTGGGGATGGTAAGATATATGTAATTTAGTGTTGTTGTTTTGTTTTTATGAGTAGTTATTGGGTTTTTTAATTTTGATTGGTGAGATTAAGGGGTAGGGTTGTTTGGGGGGGTTTTATAAATATGATGTGCCATTTGATTAAAAAAAAAATACTGTGGTCAAGTGACAACATTCGTAACTGGTGAGTGTAATTTGAAATCCAAAAGAGTTACGAAAATTTACATGTTTCTGTACTAAGTAAATACATTGTAATTTTTTCAACTAACATTCAAAGATATTTTGTTCCACTTATAGAAGCTGTTATGGAACTTTATTTTAACTATAGACAGTGTTATATTTTGATCACCATCAAAATAAAAAAAATCTTTGAAGCAATGTCCCTGTATATTTTATTAATCATTTTTTCTAAATTTCCATTAAATTATCTAAAAATAAATACCAATATATATACACACATATTCTAAGATTTATTTCACATATAATCCAATCCCTTCTATTATGACGTGATTTCAAATGATGATTTATAAGTAAGTTATGTAATTTTTTCTTAAATACTCGGATTTTTTAAAATTTTCTTCTACTATCAGGATTTCTTATCTTGTATATTAGTGAAAATATAATTATATATTTATGCTCTCTAATATAATTATGTTATATACATTTAATGTACATATCTAATTTTTTATTTCATATGTCCTAAAACATCCCTAGTAATTACACTATGTGTTTTATCCAACCAACTTTTCCTTATAATATGTTTTAGTTTTAAAAAGGAATAGGAAATAGGTTAACACAATGACTAAATCTTATAAATAGAAATAAACATAAAGATTGAAAAACACTAAACCACAATGGGCTCGTAAAGCTACAGCAAAACTAGTTTGGTTCACTTTTCAGCCTGCAAGTTATGGTCTTGGCTTTTGAAGATATTTTTCTGTAATTATTTTTCAATTGAACACATAATTTTAATATTTTTCTTAATCCTTTCAATAGAATTTATTACTTTTTTTTTTAACCTAGAAAAACAATGAATAGAATTTGTCAGTAATTATTCTTTTATTATACATTTAAATCTGAAAAATACATAACTAAGTTCTTTGAAAATTAAATATTAAATAGATTTTGAATTAATTTTTTATGGTAGGCTTCAATTGGACGGGCGCATTGATTTTAATGTCATCATTTAATTTTTTTTAATTATATCATTATACTTAATAGAGGTATATTTAACAATATAGTAATTGCATAATAAAATTTGCAGTTTTATCGAAGCACTTAAGTTGTTGTCCAATGACAATATTCCATTCAAGAAAATACTACCGATTAAGATACCATTAGAAAGAGCTTTGGATGCGTTCAGCCATGGAAGGGCAACAGGAGGCGAAAATTTATTTATATTAGTGAACAGCTATGAATCAACATCTCTCCAAGATCAAAGAAGTGAAAGCAGTGAAGAAAAGAATGCAAGCATCCCAGAACGGACACCAGTTAAAGAACTACCAGATCCAACAAAACCAATCACAAGCACAGAATTAAAAGAACCGACCAAACCAGCCACCAGAAAGGAATCATCAACAGATCCTACAAAAGCCACGAGTGCAGAATTATCAACAGAGCCGAAAAAACCAACCACGGGTACAGATTTATCAACAGACTTGAAAAAAACAAAAAGTACAACAGACCCAAAAAAACCAACCATGAGCACGAGTACTGAATTATCACCAGATCCAACAATACCAGCTACCAGTACGGAATTAAAAGAACCAAGCAAACCAGCTACCAGTACGGAATCAAAAGATCCGAGCAAATCAGCTACCAGTATGGAATCAAAAGAGACGACCAAATCTGCTCCCAGTACGGAATTAAAAGAACCGAGAAAACCAACCACAAGTACGGAATTAAAAGAGTCGACCAAACCAATTACGAGTACGGAATTAAAAGAGACAACCAAACCAGCTACCAGTACGGAATTAAAAGAACCGAGCAAACCAGCTACCAGTACAGAATCAAATGAGACAACCAAACCTGCTTCCAGTACAGAATTAAAAGAGACGACCAAACCTGCTACCAGTACAGAATTAAAAGAACCAAGCAAACCAGCTATCAGTACGGAGTCAAAAGAACCGAGCAAACCAGCTACCAGTACAGAATCAAAAGAACCGAGCAAATCAGCTACTAGTACGGAATTAAAAGAGACGACCAATCCAGCTACCAGTGCGGAATTAAAAGAACCAAGCAAACCAGCTATCAGTACGGAATCAAAAGAACCGAGCAAACCAGCTACCAGTACGGAATCAAAAGAGATAACCAATCCAGCTACCAGTACGGAATTAAAAGAACCGAGCAAACCAGCTACCAGTACGGAATTAAAAGAACCAAGCAAACCAGCTATCAGTAAGGAATCAAAAGAACCGAGCAAACCAGCTATCAGTACGGAATCAAAAGAACCGAGCAAATCAGCTACCAGTACGGAATCAAAAGAGATGACCAATCCAGCTACCAGTACGGAATTAAAAGAACCGAGCAAACCAGCTACCAGTATGGAATCAAAAGAGACGACCAAATCTGCTACCAGTACGGAATTAAAAGAACAGAGCAAACCAACCACAAGTACGGGATTAAAAGAGTCGACCAAACCAATTACCAAAACGGAATCAAATGAGCCGACCAAATCAGCCACCAGTACCGAATTATCAACAGATCCAAAAAAACCATTGAGTTCAGAATCATCAACAGAGACAAAAAAATCAAAACAAACCGATAAATTAGAAAATCATAACAAACAAAAAGTAACATCAACAAGTCCTAGTGATGACAACAAGAATGAAGAAATGAACAAGGAAAGGATCTATGAGGTTGTAGAGGATATATTAAGGCCAAAAGATCCTGGAGAAAATGAACCGAGGCCAGAAGATAAAGATACCAAACAGGACTTATCCTCAAATAAAAAAGACAATAAAGAAAATAATAACAAAAATGATGATAATAATAATAATAAAAAGAATTGACTATTTGCTTTATGAAGATTTTATATTCATAAATTACCAACCAATGATCCATTCTGATAAAAAAAAATCCCTGTTCTAGTGGCAAGGGTTTGTTCTTACTTTTTTTTGAAATTGTACAATAAATAAAAATATAAAAACAATACAACAATAAGACATACTTTAATCCTCTTTTAATCATATTGAGATCTAGGGTTAAGGAACTTCTCCGGTCACTGAATTGAACAATCTGAAAACATAGGAATTATTAAAGCTTTAACAAATAAATTAATACCAATAAAGAAAAGTCTTGATTATAACAGTTTTCAATAAAACAAGTTGGCCGTTAAGATATTTTTTTAGCTATATTAGCTCATAGCATTCCTAAGGTACTCTTTCGCAGATACTGCCCACCACGCTGATTGCTAGCAGTTAAGATTTAGTGGAATAGAAAGGACCCTATGGCATTGTTGGCAGTCTAGGTATGATGTCATATCTATACTGCTCCTTTCTGATCGATCACGAAGCAGTGAAGCTGTTGGCAGTACAGTAGTTATAGATTATGTTATGATATCGGAGAAGAGTTTTGATGATAACAACTGTCTTATGTTTCATTTATTTTTTTCACTTTTTCAAGTCAGACAAAATTAAATGAAAAATTATTTAAAATTTAAACAAAGCTATAAAAATTGTTCTTTAAAGGTCGAAGTAACAAGAGTATTTATTACATCAAAAGTATTTTACAGAAGAATTCAAATATACCTAAATCTAAACAACATTAAATGAATTAATAATAAAAAAAAAAAAAAACGTTAAACTCAGATAAATACTCAAATCCAGACATAGGAAAATCGATTTGTCGATGTGTGCTGTGCATTTATTATAAATATATGATATTTATAACTTAAATAATCATGCTAATAATAAGTAATAAATTTAAAATCAGAGATAAACCCTCAATTCTTAAAATAATATTTTGTTACTGCCGTGAGCCGTACCAGCAAAATAGTACCTTTAAGCTATATACTGATTGGCAAAGCATTGCGCAAGTGAGCAACAGTAGTGGACACTGAAAAAATCGAATATATATTCCTTATGTATAGCTATATTATTTATATTTGATTTTTTATCACCTGCTTTAATGTCTAATATAATTTTCAAATTATCACTTATACTTAAATTAAGCAATAGATATTTATTAAAATAAAGATTCAACATTTTATTGAAAACTTATTGATCTGTTGTCGAGGTGATCACCGATAAAGGTTACGTTAGACATAGGTGGGCACAAGTTTGCTTGCAGATAGAAATGTTATTCAGGCAGAGATACCCGCGGCTTCTAGGTTTGGCTTCAATCTTTGTAGTATAAGAACCGGGCAAAAAGGAACATCAGTCCTTTCCTAACTGGTCCGTAAAGAGAGAAAGAATATCGACCAATAGAAACTCTGTTGTAAAAACATTGAATGTCCAGATTTACCTTGAATGCATATTAAATTTGAGATTAAAAATTAGTCTTAGACTTATTGTTTTATTCAAAGCCTAATGGTTGTCAAGGATGCATGAAGACTTCTAATTATGTTATTAAATAAAGGGATACATCATCATAAGAAAATTATATGAATGAATGAATGAATATAATTTTATTATTCTGGGACTAGGGTCCCTTTAGAACAAGTCACAAATAGAAAATATATATTAATATTTTGGTGTGTCCATGAAGTATAATTTAATATCTACAGGTTGATTCGGAGTAGAATAAAGTTATAAATGATAAAAAGATATAAATATATGTAAATATAAAATATACAGAGAAAGTAATTAAGTGAACGAAATATCGATGAATTACAAAATAATCAGAGTATCTGGGTGTACCTTGAGGTTTTTACAGCTTAGGTTTTTAAGTGCATTTCGTGATCAATCGGATTAGGAATGGAGTAGGTATTCGAAGAGGAGAGATTTGAAAGAGGATATCAATTTTGCGTGTCAAATATCTGAAGGTATAGAGTTCCAAAGGGAGACAAGTTGTATTAAAAAGTATTATCAAATGCAGCAGTTCGGTGAGGAGGAGGATAGAAGTCGGACGCACGGGATCTGGTGGGACGGGATTGAAAGGAGCATTTGAATTGTAGGATCTGTAGAATATAGGCAGGTCGCCGTGTTGTAATGGCTCGGTATAGGAAGGTAGCCATGAAATATTGACGGCGGTAGACAGATAAAGCCACTTCAACTTGGTGTAGAACTGGGTAATATACGTATCCCTTGAGATCCTGAAGATGAAGCGGATTGAGCAATCCATTAGACATTTAAGTTTAGCTTCGAGTTCTCCCGAGAGTCCACCATACACCATGCAGCCATAGTTGAAGTGGGGGAAAAGAAGAGAGGAGTTGACGGGTTTTGAACGGAAGAAGATAACGTAGATGGTTAAACTGTTTCAGGGTGGATATAGTACGGCGGGAAATTTGGGATATGTGTGGTTTCCAGGAGAGGCTTTGATCGAGGGTAACGCCTAGGTTTTTAATGGTGGTATGGAAGGAGATAGGTGATATGTGTTTAATCCAAATTGTTTAGCATACATACCTGCAGTTTCAAATATTTTTTGTTTCAAACTACATTCTGCATCTACATCTCTTGCTGCAGCCAAAGCTTTAGCGCTTTCCGCTTGTGTCAACCACCACTGAACCTGTCAATAAAAACAACAAACAAAATATCTAAATACTTTAAAAAACAGGGATATAACCTCAACATTGACAAAATATAAGCTATTATTTTTCCTAAACAATGTTTTATGATCCTGTCGAGCATAATCTTAAATGATTCTCTGATTCTGCTTGCCAGGTCTGTTCAATACGTAGATGTAACACTTGATAATAAACCCCTATTTATCTGCACATTAATTGAAATTTAGAAAATACTCAAAAAATAACGTATAAACTTTCACCCCAAAACAAATTAATTCTGTATAAATCGGTAGTAAGACTAATCTTAACATATACCTGCCCCATAAGGAGCTTAAGTAATACATGAAAATACTACAAATTTCTCAAAACAAATTCCTAAGAATTGTCAACAATTATCCCTATTATAAAAATAATTATGATGCACTCTGAATTAAATATGTCCTACCTAAAAGAACATATGGTACTCCTTAACCCTGGAGTAGTCGCGAGGTTGACAGTTAGATGAATGGTCGCGTGGTTGACCAGTGTCACCCAGAGGATGATTTTGTTTTTGGTATCGTATAATTCAATTACTTACTTAATTATTAATCTTTATGCCTTAGTCTAATGTTAGAAAAGGTTTATAAATAAAAACACTTATGAAATAACTTAAAAAATATATTGTAAAAGCGATAAATCACATAATTGGAAACGTAAAAGTCACAAATTTACTGTAAGTAGATTCTATTATAAAAGCAAACATATTATAACTGTTATGAATATCATAAATTTATTACAAAATACAAATATTTTAAAAACAAATTTTGGCAAACACTTTTTAAATGATCATTGCACATTTATCACACCATTTCCTTGTAGTTTTATCTCTTTGTCGCCCAGTCATGGCAACGTCCTCCAGCTCCTTCTTTTCCTTTTGTTCATGGCTCTTATATTAAAGTACCAAGAAGGATAAATGCCCGGCACCTTAATACAATGGGTAGTTGCAATATTGTAGACCTATATTGAATTTGTGGTTTAATCATTTCCCATGCCAAATTTTGTAAAAATATACTTCTGCTCACTTTATTTTTTTAATTTGATTTGTAAATACAAAGTGCATTGAGTGCTGAAATACACAAGAGATTGAAAAACACAACCATTGGCCATCGGCGTGTATTTCTATGCACATTGTACCTCGCTATTAGTTGGTCAAGTAAATCAACCCCAACTTTAGTGTGATTATAAAATGTTACGATTTCAGGCTTAGACAACTCACCTGTTTTCTCATCGATGTAAAGTTGAGACTAGGAGAACTGTCCGATTCCTTTTTGGACAGTAAGAAACTAGTGTGCAGTCTTCTTGAAAACCAAACATTGACGAGAATGCAGAACAGTGTTTGTGAGGCTGAAATTCCCTGAGAATTTCAGTTTTGTTTTTTTGGAGGGTACCAACATATGTGAGCCCTTTGGTTTCTAACAATTTTTTGGCCATCGGAATACTGCTGAACCAATTGCCTCCAATTATATTTCTGTGGGTTCCTTTTACCAGTTCCACCAATCTCAGTACAACGTCCATTGGAGAATTACTCAACCGGTATGGATCTTCCGGCTGAACACCTACATATGTTTCCAAGATAAACGTGTATATCATTTTAGCATTTACTAGTGCAAATGTTTTGATGCCGTATTTAACTGGCTTATTTGGAATGTATTGCCTGAATGGGCATCTGCCTCGGAAAGCTAATAACTGCTCATCTATGGTGATATATTCGCTAGGAATGAAGAATTTGGGAAAGTTATTATTTACAATGAGTTAGAGATGGTTGACCGTTGATATAATATGAGAAAGAGTTGATCGGGAGGGTGCGGTCAAATTAATACTAAATTAAACAAGTAGAATTATTTAATTTTTGCTGACGTTTTGACCCACTTTGCAGGTCTTCATCAGGGCTACAAAAGATACAAAACATGGTGAAAATAAAATAAATGAATATAAGAAGATATAAAATAAGAATAAGTTGTCTGATACAGAAATAAAAAGATGATATCAGAGATATAGTGGGTGACAATGTGGTTAAAATATCAAGTATTATATGTAGAAGATACAAACAAAAATGGAAAATAAGTATGAATAAAAATAGAAAATAAAGGAGAATATAGCATGTAAGTTAAAAGTAAACAGATTGTGATAAAAGATAAATAGATAAACGAATAAATAAATAGATAAATAGATAGTGAATAAATAAATTATTCAATTTACAATCTATTTATTCGTTAACATTCAGTTTCTTTATATGTTAACCTACATTTATCAAATGTAATCTTTATTAGTTTGTTATACACTCATTCCTAATCTTTTATCGCAATCTGTTTACTTTTAACTTACATGCTATATTCTCCTTTATTTTCTATTTTTATTCATACTTATTTTTCATTTTTGTTTGTTTTGCTTGTGAATATTTACTTTTCAAAATGTTTATGTAAATATTGGATGAACTCACAATTAACCAATAAACATTGCTATCTAAAAAAAGGTCAAGTAATTTGACTTCTGAATTTATCTTTGAGACTGTTCCTTTTGGGCCAAAGAGGTGCTTTATGATATTTTCTGAGTGGGTTTTAACTTTTTTTTTTTTTTTAGGAAAACACTTCAACCATTTTGTTTTGCCATCTTTTCCGAGGTAAAATGATTTTTGTGACTCAACCATCGTCTTCGTCAGCTGACTGCTCGGGATCTGCATTGTGATCACTCTCACTTAGATAATCTATCTCCCCTGAATCCGATCCTTCGGGATCACTTTCTTCCTCTTCATCAGATAATTCTTTGAGCCACTGCTGCCAAATTTTGGGATCTCATGAGTACTCAATTTTTCTTTTCTTAGTTTATGATATGATCTATGTGAAAATAAAAAAAATGTTTAGGTGTTATTTCTATAGGAAGGAAAACAAAAACACAAAATAGATTAAAAATAACAAATTGGTAAATATCTATCTCATAAAACATATTATTAAAGAAAAAATTACTTACCGGTAAAATAAATTAAAAGGTCGCGAAGGAGACACTTGTCAACCAAACTAGTTCGAGGTGGAATACTTTTCTTAGTTGAAGGGTAAACTGAACAACGACAATGTAGATTCCAATAATAGGGTTTTTTTTTAAGATACTGGAAGGGATGGAATGGCGGAGGTAATGGAAAGGGAATAACCCCTTACAAACTTGGCAGGTGGCAGGTGGGTGACAACTGTCAATTGCGCGACTACTCCAGGGTTAAATAGCGGGTTGGGACGAAACCTCCCTTGTTATCTAATGTTACATCACATAACCTCCCTTCTTATCTCGAGTTATTCCATCATTTATTTTTATTCCATTAGTGTGATATTCGTCAAATTATATTACATTGTGGGAATTGACGTCTTCAGAAGTGGCTACCAAATATTTTCAATAGGCCGTGATAATTGTTTTGTTATTATTACATTTGTTTTCGTCTATTTAATATATATGTTGTAAAATAAAAGTATTTAATCAGACTGTTTTGTTATTATTACATTTCTTTTCGTCTATTTAATATATATAGGAATTATATATGTCCTCTATTTAATATATTTTTTTTTATTATTATATTTGTTTTTGTTTACAATTTCAATAATATGAATATAATACAATAAATATGAATACAAAGATAAGAATTATCAGTGGCTTATCAGAATTATCAGTGTTAAGGTTATAAACATTGGCAGATAGCAGTCAGACCTGACCAGCTATTTAAGGAGTGCCGAATATATTTCCAAAACAATCTTAATCTTCAAATCCATTAATAGCAGAAATAGGAAATTATACAAAAACAACACCCAAATATAAACATAAGAGAACAAAACATAATCTCTTCTAAAATAGTCTATATTTTATTTTATTGTAAATAGTATTGGTTGTTTTTTCCAAATTGTTCAGTTTTTACCAATAAATTTAATATATTTTATTTGCAATATATTTTAATAAATTAATATTCAACATTTAAAAGGCAAGCTAATCTAGTTCTACTAATTCAGGGAAAAGAAAATAATTGCTCTGTAGTTTTCCCCAAAAAGGAAAATAGTAGAAGACAAATGAATTTAGTGCAGCAAAGGAAGAAACAGTATATATATAAAAAACGTTAGCTTGCCAATCAACACTTGATTTCATTTTAAAATCAGTGTTTAATTTTAGTATAAATAGTGTAAATAATAATAGTTTGTCTGAGTGTTTTGATCTAATTGTCAGTAACCCATACCTTGAGATAAAATAATTATAAATTTCAATTTAATATATTAATGCTCTTATAATTTTGTTTATTATTTAACAACCTCTTATATCTTTTGGAAGCATCCCAATGGTATAAAGTAATCTTCCGAGGTTATATTATTATTATTATTTGTAAAATATAAGAGAGATGTTACAATATTGTATATATATATATATATATATATATATATATTATATATATATATATATATATATATAAATGTATTATAAAAGGGCACATGCCCACAGCATTTGTAAACTTTGTAATTATGAAAATATAAAATAATAAATCATCTATAAAAATAACAATATATTTAAAGGAAGGAGATGATCCGGGTGGCGGTCATAAATAGGCTAAATAGTGGCAAAACTATTTTATTACAAGCCAACGTTTCGACCCGACTTTGCAGATCTTCTTCAGGGAGGTGTGTTCAGCTAGGAGTTTCACTTGGACTCCTAAACTAACTGTGTAGATAAAGTAATATTATTAAAAGTAAGGTTATTTAAATACAACATCTGAATTCGAGGCAGTATGGACTAGTAATTACTTCCCTAGGCCTACTTGATATTAGAAACTGAGAGGAGACTGAAAGACTAAAAAAATGTTTATATATGTATATATATATATATATATATATATATATACATATATATATATATATATATATATATATATATATATATATATATATTACCTGGCGAACGAGCAGATCTTTTCTGAGACCTGGAGGTTCTGTTTTTATATGTGGGATCAAGACATTCAAACTTCCTTCGAACTTGTTATATGCTGTCACATAGTCCCCTTCTGCCATGTACATCTGCCCAGTCATTCCAATCTCTAAAGCATCATACACTTTAGGAGTAGACTGGAACAAGTCCTCTGCAACCATTAATTACTGTTTTAACCATTAATCACCAAATATTTAAATTATATCAAGAAAATAAATATAATCCCATTTTTAAAAGGGAAAACAGATGAAGCTTTTGGTCCATTGTCCAATGAATCTATCAATCATTCTCATCAAATTGATTTGCTCCATAAAACAAAAAGGGAAGAAATTTGATTTAATAAAATTTAAAGGTACTTCTTGTCTAGGGGGCTGGACTGAAACCTCACTTCTTATCTATCTTATCTAATGTCACATCACATAACCTCCCTCTTCTTATCCCGCCAAACCTTTGAGTTATTGCATTGTTTAGTTTTCAGTTATTCCCTTATTAAATTCTTTACTTTTGGCCCGTTTGTGTTTATTTTTCATTATTTTTAATTTTTGGTCCGTTTGTGTTTATTTTACATTTATTTTTTAGTTTTTGGCCCTTTTGTGTTTATTTTTCATTTTTTTCCCGTTTGTTTTTGTCATATTATGGATCTTGTTAGAATATGGGATTCGCTGCCTTCAGAAGTACAGAAGTTAATCAGGAAGGCCAAATGGAAATGCTTTCGTAGGACTTATGACACAAAACTTTCAATAAGGAAAGGGACATGGTTGGAGGCCTCGAGGATTTCGTTTTTAACAGCTATAAAATTGATTTATGGGTGGTCCCATAGCTTGGCAACGATGAAGTGGGGCAAAGAGCAGCTGAAACTATCCTACGGAGCAATGGTAACGTGGAACAAATGTCTAAGAGAGGTTTGTGTCCATGACATGTTATACAGGCCAAGAAAAAAAATTGGAGGACCTGGCAAAGTGGTTGAAGTAGACGAAAGTCTTTTTTCTAAATGAAAAAATCATGTGGGGAGAGTTTTATCTCAGCAGTGGATGTTTGGTGGAGTTTGCCGAGAAACAGATGAATGTTTTATCTTTTTATAAAACAGATTTTATGTTTTATATTTTTTCTTTTCTATGTAAATATATTCTTTTAAATGTGTTTTTTTTTTTCATTTTGATGTTTTATATGTACATATCTTCTTAAAGTGTTTTTTTATTATTTCATTAATATATTTGTCGTCAAATAAAAGTATTTTTTTTGTTATTACATTTGTTTTTGTATCTGTTTACACTTCATAATACGAATTAATACATAATACAAGATATGAAGTAGGAGAAGGCTTATCACTGCGTTATGGGAGTTATCAGTGTTCAGGTTATAAACATTGGCAGATAGCAATCAGTAGCGGCCCCCTAGACAAGAAGTACCAATTTAAATGTCCTATATTAAGAATAATACTTTTTATGAATGATATGACACTCGATAATACATATATAAATTTTAAAAAGAAGTCACAAAATTTGAATTGAATTGACGCATTTGGGAACGCGTAAATCTACTTTTATTTTACATCAACATCATAAAATTCCTAAATAATTGTGTCAGTTCCAACGATTCATTATAGATCTTAGAACTATTAAAACGAAGAAACTTTTGATTATTATTTGTTTTTAAACCATCAAAAAAGTTGAATAAACAAAGTCAACCTTGAAATGACATTATGTTCCTCTTAACACTCGTAATTACAAGTTTTTAGTAGAAATTTTTGCACAAAGTGAAAATTCAATAAATTTAATCCCTTAAATATGTTTGTAGCTATCGATGTTAGCAAAAAAGTGCAAAAATAGTTTTTACAGAGATTTTGTAGTATTTTAATTTATAGGATAATATTTTCAATAACCCTCATAGTTCTTTAGACATTCACAAAAAACAAAAAAAAAAATCAATTTTCTGTCCTTCACCCCGTCTGTTCATCAAAACTTGTTGCGGGCAACTTTAAAACTTTTTACCAGATATTATAGAGAGTGTAAGATACAATTTCTTATAAAATTCATTTTTTTTTGGGAGGGGGGGAATGGAGATGTTCAGGTCAATCCCTACTTTTACTGAAGTAATGGAAGGTTAAACACACATCTTTATAACACTCACATTAATCATTGACACATTTCTGAAAGTTAATTGCAGGACTTTTAATTTATTTCATGTACACGACACGACCAAATTAATTATGCCATTGTCTTTGTTACAGATTTTCTATGTTGAAATTAACCTACACCTATCAGTTAAATAGATTAAAGATAAAATTTAGCTGTACAAAAGCAAGAGTACAGTTTTTGTGAGCCATCAAATAGAAAGATCTTTAAAACAATCAGAAATACTTTACTGAGGCCAGGAGTATCTTGATCTGTTAAAATTCTTTCAATTTCAGGATTTGAAGTTGATGACGATGATTCCTTCGATGTCACTTCTGATTGGTTGCTTTTAGAGCTCGTAGATGTATTTTCAGGTTTGCCTGATAAACTATGTGAAGAAGTGCTTGATATTGAGAATTTCGTACCATGTTCAAAAGAAGAAGATGATATGCAGTTTATAATATCCATCTGACCTACAAATAGAGCCCGTATCAGTAAAAAAAAAAATTGTAAATACTGTAAAGATCAGCGTTTGACTGAAATATAGATTGGTAGTATTGGTGACTTTGGATGGGTTTGAGTAAAAAGGTGGGATTGATGAGGTAAAATACAGTGGCATTTTTGAAATTGGAGTTCATTTCGAATATACAAGAATAAAATGAGAAAGATGTTTCAACAGGTGATACTTATCATGTCGACAGAACATATAAAAGCTATATATGAGAAGGAGTTAGTCGAGGGTGCGGTCAAATAAATAAAAAATTAAAATAAATTAATTATTTAATTTTTGCCGACGTTTCGACCCACTTTGCAGGTCGTCTTCAGGGCGTAGGATGTGGCACTGCGGGAGGCAGTTGAAACACAGGAGACGACCTGCAAAGTGGGTCGAAACGTCAGCAAAAATTAAAATAATTAATTTTTTATTTATTTGACCGCACCCTCGACTAACTCCTTCTCATATTATATCAACGGTCAACCAACTCTACATCATTATAAAAGCTAAATGATTCATTTATACATTCTAGTTCTGATATAAATATAGTTAAATTAGCCTAATCAAAAGCATTGAAAAGTTAAAAAGCACATAAGTTGAGTGCGGCAGATGCTAAGAGTGAAATATGTCTTCGATTCCATGCGCTTTAACAGCTGTTTAACCTTATTAAATAGAATGATCGATGGCTCCTTGGCTACAATGGATGATGATGCTGAAGTATATTATAAATTTAGTATAACCAACTTTTTTTATTGATTTATTAATAAACGATCCAAAAGAGGATATCCAAGATAAGATATTCAATCATAATTATACCAGGTTAATATATTAATTAATAAAAACAAATTCTCAACTAAATAAAATATAAACTAAAACTAAATATAAAAATATAAAATATTAATATTTGCCTTTGATATTAACTTCCTTAATACAATACTCATGAGAATAAGAAAGATCTATTCTTTTAATTGTTATAAATAAACTAATGCATATTGCCAATACAGTCTACTAAATCCAGATCAAATAGTAAAAACAAAAAAAAAAATATACCACTCTCTGTAAGTCACTTGCAGGAAATATGATCTCAGGTTTCACTGAAATATATGTTAAATAACTATAACTTTAGCTTGTTATTGCCCAGCTTAAGCTGTATTATGTGCAATCTAAGTAATCCATACTTTAGTATCCTGTGCACTGTTATAATTTGAATCGGCTGTGAGTTGGTGTTTTTAAAATAATTGAAAAATATTATCTAGTGATGAAAAAGGAGAAAATGAAACAAATGCCAGCGCCTGGGTGTGGAAATGCTAAATAGATAGAGGAGTCTCATTTCAATCATTGTACTTGATGACAACAGAGAATAATATACCATGGCAACAAATCCTTCTATAAAAACAAATATTCGTATATAAAATTTTTTATCAAGTGAGTATGAATGTATGTATCCAGTAAATAAATCTGAATATATGGATTGACATTTAATCTTTTATAATAATGGTTTAATAATTGACTGTCGTAGATATATTTAAGAGTAGTTGGTTGGGGTGTTTAAGCAAATAACAAAGTCAAAATAAATAAATTATATTCATTTTCATTTTTGACTACATTTCGGTCCAAAATTTCAGGTCTTAATTAGGGCTAAGAAAAGACAAGATAACATAGATATGAGAAACTAGTAGACAGTAAAAGTAATAATATGGAGGTAAAATGCATAGTCTGACAACGTGCAGATAGAATAAACTTAACGTTAATAAAAACGTGGAGAGATAAATATATGATATATAAATAGAGGAAAAATAAAATCATGCTAACAAAGTTGAGAATAGAAAGTAGCGGAAGCAAAGTTAGGATCTATAAGATAATGGTAACAAAGTTAGGAACTTTGCAGTTCTTTCTCTGAAATAGATAATAACAGTAACTGATGGGGAGAGCGATGTAAAATATACGAACATAGACTTAATCCCGTTTCAATAAGTCCTAGTCATTTGAACCTTTAAAACAAATACATAAGGTAAAAAATGGGAAAAGAAAAAAAAAGAGACAAAGTAATTGGAAAATTGGTAGAGCCCCAGTTCATAGTGGAGGGGGGAGGTGCCATTTATTAATCCATAAGACAAGTGATTGTTTTTTACATGCAAATTAAACTATATAACGTTCTCTTGATTCATATAAATATGTTTTTGTGTAAATTAAACTTAAATTAAAACAAAACGAAAATACACACTAATCACAATTTATTGTATATAATTTTGTGTAAAATAAAAAAATGAAAATAAAAGTAACGGCCTGAACAGATGGTAATATCGATAAATAATCCATACATATATTACAGTAAGGCTCGAAATCGGTTTTGTACCAAATATAAGCTCCTGTCATGCTCAAATACCATAAATGGGGTACCGTTGGATTCAGAATTTCACGGGGGGTTAGCGAATCGTATTCTCTGCTTTCGTTTTTCTTTCTAAAATAAATAAAGTCGGTACAAACATTTTGCTAGGCTTCAATACTGGAACGGTGGTAGGTCTGTAGATCGATGCGCGACAAATTGGACCTTGAAGATTTTGATGCGTACAGCAAGACCCGAATAGTTCCTCCGGAACTATCGGATCCTGCGTTTTTAAGCCCGAAAACGTACCATTTTCGAGATAACGCAAGGTATGGGGTTCGCATCCACACAACCTGACGTTAATTGTAGTACTCTCATTGGATACATGTCTCATTTCGTCGACTTGAGGTCCCTATGATCGAGACAGGAGGAGTTTATATTATTTATCGATGATGTTTTTGATCGGTAAGCCATATCATCGTTAATTTTTCACCAAATCTCAAGATTGAGCCACCGATTTCGAAGGCTTCCTTCTCCTTCAGGCGGGAAAAATATTCCAATCACCCCGAAAATTCAGGCAAACAAGTTATGAAAAAAAAAAACTTTATTTGCGAATAACTAAAAAATTACACACTTTTCCCTTGGTCATTCCTATGGTTATATAAAGCATTACTTAATTGTCTACAAAAGGAAAAAAAAAATATTGAAATCGGACAATTTTTTGCAAAGGTACAGCTTATTGAAATTTGTAAATATGTTGGTTCCAAACAAAAATGAAGATTTAAATTAATTTTGTTTTCTTTGTGGATTATATTTATGGTTAAAGTAACAATTGATTTCTTTATCTTTTGATACGTTGCATTATTTTATTTTCTTATTAATTTGGCATTTGATAACAATATGCTGTGCGAATTTTTCACACGGGCCTACTAGTATTTATAAATTTCGTATCGATTGTTATCAATCGGAAACGGCCAAAACAATAATAGAGTTAGGAAGTTATGAAATAAACAATAGTGGTAACAGAGTTGGAAATTATGAAATAAACAATAATAAAATAACAGTAATAACATAATGAAAATTACAAAGAAATGTAAAGGTATATAAAGAGATAAAAATCATAAGTGTTAGACATAAAATAAATAGGGTAACGTAGTTGCTATAAGTTGACATCAGTATGTGTTAAGAGATAGTGAGATAAACATAAAATAAAAATGAAAAACAGACAAAAGGAATACGAAATTTTATAAAGAAAATAATAGATGTGAATAGAACAATTAAGGTGTACTAAAATATATCAAAACATTGTAGATATAGAGAAGAGAATTGCAACGTTAAAATTATGTAAATCAAGAAAATAAGATTGAATGAGTAAATGTGTCAATATAAATGAAGTAGCGGCATGGATATGGAAGAGAGAGTAGCAGCATTTTTTATAGTATGTAGTTTTCCTGAATCAAATAAAACATTTTATAATTGGTAATTGGTTGACTGTCGTGGATAATGAAGAGAAGAATAGTTGGGGTGTTCAGTCAAAAAGGAAGGCAAAAATAAATTATAATATTTATTTTTTACATATGCCGACGTTTCGACCTGAAGTTCAGGCCTTCATCAGGGCTAAGAAAATAACCAGATAACAAGGTATGAGAAACATAAGTAATGATGGTAAAAAAGATAAAAAAAAAATATATAAAATTAAAAAAATAAAAAAATTATTATAAAAATAAAATAGATAGATATAAAGTAAAATGAAATTGTTAGAATAATGACTAAGAACTAAGAGATAAATAATAAAAACTGTTACATAGTGTGGAATGATGAAGTAGGCATAATCAAAAAGGGGTGCCAAAAGTGTTACAATGGGAATCTTAGAATAAAATGTAAAACATAAAAAAGGAAATATGAAGTTATATAAGAAATGAAAATAAATAGTAAAATTAAAACATTGAGAATGGAGTAGTTAGATAGAAAATTGAGATATTGTAAAGTCTATCAAGATGTACAGACAATGTATAATTGAGGTATTGTTAAATTGAGAAAATTGAGATATTGTTATTGTTGATATTGAGATATTTTCTATCTAACTACTCCATTCTCAATGTTTTAATTTTACTATTTATTTTCATTCCTTATATAACTTTATATTTCTTTTTTATGTTTTACATTTTATTCTAAGATTCCCAATGTAACACTTTTGTCACCCCTTTTTGATTATGCCTACTTCATCATTCCACACTATGTAACAGTTTTTATTATTTATCTCTTAGTTCTTAGTCATTATTCTAACAATTTCATTTTACTTTATATCTATCTATTTTATTTTTCTAATAATTTTTTTATTTTTTTTATTTTATATATTTTTTTTTTTTATCTTTTTTACCATCATTACTTATGTTTCTCATACCTTGTTATCTGGTTATTTTCTTAGCCCTGATGAAGGCCTGAACTTCAGGTCGAAACGTCGGCATATATAAAAAATAAATATTATAATTTATTTTTGCCTTCCTTTTTGACTGAACACCCCAACTATTCTTCTCTTCATAAAACATTTTATAACTATCCTTACCAAAATGACATATTATCAACTAATTAGAGCTACATTTTATAGTTTTTCTCTCTTTAATAAGATCATCAAGTTTATTACATTAAAAACTAAAGTACATTAAAAAAAATCTGGTGTGTCCACTCACACGATTTTCATACCTATTTCAGAAAAGTTTTTATATCTTTACATATGTCCATCAAGAAACAAAAAAATTTAGATTTATTTTCCTGAAAATTGATCAAAGAAAAGATTTGAGAACGATTTATTTGATAAACTAAAGCAACGTAAACCGGCTTAAGTTAGATCAGTGTAAAAATTTCAATACCATCTAATATTGCAGATCAAAAACTTTTTTCCATAGATTAATTTTGTCAAACAATAATTTCTGTTAAAAGTAGAGGTAATAGAGGAGCTTGTGTGATGCAGGCAACAGATATTCTTACTTTCATTAACTTATCTTTTTTCTCTCATTCATCCCTTTCTGACACCAGGATATGTACCCGTAATCTTACATTGGAAATTGAATAGCTGTAGTTTTGTAGGGAATTTCATTACCTTTAAAAAAAAAACCAGACTAAACGGTGTTTTTTCGGACTCAGGGAGCTCTGAAACATATAAATCCGCCAAAAACCGCATATTAAAAATTTGACCCGATCGCAATACTTTCCTTACCTAGTACAGATAGGAAAGCAATAAATTAAAACATGTGTAGAAAATAGAATACACTGTATTATCGCTAATACTGGTTCGATTCCAGTGATTTTTTTTTGGTAATTTAATTACCTTTCAAAAGTTTTATTATAAATTTTACCATAGAATATATACTCAGTGAGTTAGGCCCCAAAACATTTTTTTGTTTCTTTTAAACTTTTTTACCTGAATTTTTTCGGGAATTTAGTCCAAGTATGAAAATTGAAAGGACAATTATTAGAACATTATAGGAAATTTCATCAAGATTGTTTGAGTCATTTTCATGCTACAGTCTAGAGAAAAACATGTTTTTCATTTATTGCTAAGAATCTATTGCGCATGGAGCACTCAGTTTGTGTCATAGGTATCAGTAGCCAACACTTACAAAATAAAAAAAGAAGCAACAAAATCGGTCTACTAGTTTCCGAGAAAATCTTGGCACAGACAGACAAACCAATGGCTAAAAACATATATTTCGGACTCAGGGGGCTCTGGAATGTATAGATCCGTCGAAAACCGCATACCGAAAATTTGACACTATCACAATACCTTCCTTACTTAGTACAGGTAGGAAAGTAAAAAAGCATACAAACCAGTATGTAGAGCATTCTTTTCTAATAGATTCTCTATGTCTTTAGACTGATGTTTCTTATCATTTTTTAAACAGGCTTCGATATCTTCTTGTTGACTGTTATATTGAGCTAAGGTTACCTTCAGTTCCTCAGCTCTTGATAAACACTGAGAAACTTTCAGGTGCATACTAGTCCATTTGTAGGATTCTTTTAAACCTAGAATAAAATGTCATGTAATGATATCTTTGATAAATAAAAAATGATAACATAAAAGAAAATGTAAAAGTAATAAGTTTGTACAATGAATATTGAAATTCCTATATAAATATAAATCTATAACACAAAAGAGCACAATTTTCCAAATTATATTAAAAAACATTAATGATAATTTTCTAGTCATATTTTTTATGTTTGGTGACTATTTATTATTGATATCAAATGATTGGTAACAACATACCAAACTAAATTGTTTTACTAGATATTGTGAAACAGATGGATTAGTATACTGTATCAGATAGCAACTTGACACAATTGAGCAGCATTATGATTTTACTATAGTTCTCTCTCTCTCTCTCTCTCTCTCTCTCTCTCTCTCTCTCTTATTATACAATACATTTTAGGCCAAGTGTTATCAATAAAATATATTTTTATAACATTCTTTTTATTGTTGATATTTCGGCTTCTTGAACCATTTTCAAGTATCTATCATGCACCATTATTTAAAAAAAAATGTTATACAAATTTGTCCTAGTGATCCATTCCTTATTCCAGGTAATTTTTTTGTGATTATCTGGAATAATGGATCACTAGAACAAATTTGTATAAAAACTATACATACAATTTTTCAAAAATAATAGTGAATGATAGATACTTAAAAATGGCTTAAGAAGACGAAAGTCGTAATAATGGCAATAAAAAAGAGTGCTATAAAAACGTAATTTAATTTGTAACCCTTGGCCTAAAATTAGTTTAATAATAAATTGATACTAATTATAATTCTACATAAGTATTTGCATTTTGCATTAAGAAACAATAGTATAATATAGTTGTTGACAATAAAAACTTCCAATATATATCAAATGATGTATTTGCTATAATTTACTTTACGTTAACGTTTATGGATACAGTTCCCATCTTCAGAATTTTATTCCTATCTGGCTTTCATAAGTAATTAATATCTAGAAAAAAGGTTTATTAAAATGAATATATGTTACAATATCTGTCAATGTTAATGTTGTTACAAATTTGTTATATTTGCCTAAATGTACTCTTTTGTCATAATTTAAATTTTTTTTTTTTAAAGTAATATGTGGAGTAACTACATTATGGGAACGGATAAAAAACATTTAGGAACACACTATTCAGACATTTTAAACAAAATTAAAACACAGTAAAATTAAATAATGTAATATTACCAACTTCATACAAATATCAAAAGAAAAATAGCAAATAATGTGGTACAAATATCAATAACTAAATACATTGCTATAATTGCAATAACTAAATGCATGTAGCTAACAGATACCCAATTATTAGTCCCGTAATGTAGTTGCTCCAGATATTTCTTTTATGTATTAAAATTTTTTAAATGAGTTCCTTTGTAAGAGCACATGTGGTATTTAGGTAAATATAACAAATTTGTAACAACAGTAACATATATATAACAACAATTTTTTTAAATGAATTAATTTCTCAATTTAGACCAACTTTTTGAATATTATGTTTTATTGTCTTTCAAATTATTTAGGAGGAAATTCCCTCCCTCTCTCCATATTGCATATGCCCATGCTAAATCACGAGGTACAATGAAATATGACTTTATAAAACGGCCAATCCTGAGGTTTGTATCACAGATCGGGATCCCATCAAAGAACCACAAAAAGTGATCTTGTTGTAGTGAAACAGATTCTGGAAGGACACAATCTTCATTTCTGTAGGGGATAGAGAGTTCTGCAGAAACAGAAAGAACAACAACCTTATTTATATTTTTAATGTAGTACAGATTAATAGTCATTAAACTAGGAATACTGTACCAGGCAGGTCTCTTAGTGAGGATAGCAAATATAAATATGAAGACAACAGATGAGGGTAGTGAGAGGTCCAAAGCTATGCTAGGTAGATGGGGTGGCAGCCAATGTAAACAACTTTTAGGGATCAATAATGGGAAATGGCTGCCAAAAATATAGAATAATGGTGGAAACATATTATATTAATTGATGACATTAATAAGAATAATAAGTCAATAATAACAGATATATCATTAATTAATAAATATTAATAATGCTGTCTATGCAAAATACATTGCGTCACAACAGACCCGATATCCTAATTATAGATTTAGAAGCAAAGAAGGCAAAGCTAATAGATATCGCAATTCCAAATGATAAGAATATAAGCACAACCGTGGGAGAGAAGCTACGTAAGTACCAAGAATTGGCGATCGAATTAAAAGAGTTGTACCATGTGGAAAGCGTATTAGTTACACCAATAATAATATCAACAAATGGTCTGATCCCAAAGTCAACAGTGGCAGGTACGGACGGCTTGATCTGTTAAGAGAGCCTCAGCAAGTTGTTCTCTTGGATACAGCCAGAATTACGAGAAAGTTTTTAAATATCTAAAAAAAAAAATTATAACTGCAGGTCGTTGGACTTGTTCCCCACTTTCAGCTTTGAATCTGCAAAAGTGAGAATAATAAAGATAATAACAGAGATATCATTAATTAATAAATATTAATAATACTGACTATGTAAAATGGGGACCATGTATCGCAAGGCACGGCAATATGCGCTGAAAGCTTCAGGATACTTTTTCTGCTCATCATATTTCACCGCTTCGTGAAGTATATGAATGGCAAGTTTCTTGTTTTCTTCTGTTGGAGCATGAACTACATCGACAAATGGATGGTTGAAGAAGTCATCAAAGTTCATTCTATTGTTAGGATCGTACACCAATAGACCTTTCAACAAACTCATACAATCTTCTGAAACAGCTACTCGTTTAGAGTACTAAAACAGTCAAAATAAGAGTGATAATAAATGTCATTAGTATAAATTCAACTAACTATACATTATCAACTAAAACAGTTTTATAGCAGATCTAAGGTCTCTCAGTGCATAGTTCTGTTGGTTTATTTTTTTAACGATTGTAAGTTATGTTCAAGGAGTTAAAATTTAATAATTTTTTAGAGATCAATGAAGTTTAATATTGCATGAAATTTACCTGTATCGGAGTTTCATGGATCATGGCCTCTGTGATACCTTTATAAGTTTTATCAGAAAAAGGAGCTTTACCATATATGCATTCATAGAGAATTACTCCCACAGACCAGAGATCGACTTTATAGTTGTACCTCTTCTTTAAAATGATTTCAGGTGCCATATAGAGAGGAGAACCTCGAACACTTTCTGTACAAGCACGCTCGGAAAGATACTGTGACAGTCCAAAATCTAAATACAAATAAATAGGGTTAATTTCTTAAAACATATTGTTAAAAAAAAAAAAAAAAGATTTTAATATTTTAGACAATTTTAATATTACTGAGAAAAAACAACAAATCTAGATCAAATTTTAAGCAAAACTTCTTTAAAGTCACTTAAAAATCTGAGTCCAGTTGAACATATATAATTCATGATAAATTGATTTTTTTTTTTTTTTTTAAAGAACCACTTTTCTATATTTTTGCTAGAAATTTGCTTGTTATACAGGTTATTTGCTTGCAATAGAAGATAATGAAGAAACTTAAGTGAATTATTTCATAAGATTCATTTCTGGGGTTTTCAGGTATTATCATAACACTGGTGATAAAATTAATTTTTTTTTTTGGTCGTATGACTTATTAAAGCAATTCCAATTTAGAATAATTAAAAAAAAGCTCCCATTCTTGATCTCCTCACTCTATGTTCCTCTATTCACTCTATAAATACAATATCTCAATGAAGGAGATGGTCCAGGATAGTGGTCATAAATAGGCTAAATAGTGGTAAAACTATTTTATTGAAAGCCTTTTTTGACTAAAAGGGCTTTTAATAAAATAGTTTTACCACTATTTAGCCTATTTATGACCGCCACTCTGGACCATCTCCTTCCTTTATAATGCAACAGTCAACTATCAAATATTCAATATCTCAATCTTTTGATTTGTAAATACATCCTTATAAAACTGCTTCCTTTTGGGTATACAACATCATTTATGCTACCTCTATTTGGACTTCTTTACCCAATTATTTACATCAATACTCTTCCACATTTTCTTTCAAACAATATCTATTTATTCATCCATTTCATAATAAAACCACAATGCTGATAGAAATAATATATGAGTGGCTTCATATCAAACACTGACACCTATCATTTTCAGAAAGTGGAGGAAAATTCAATTTTTGTTTTACATGTTCAACTCAAACTGTTTCTTATAATTTTATTTAAGAATGTTCAACTTGAATCATGAAAAAAAAATTGTTAGAATTGGTTTAAACTGAAGCAATGTTACAGAAAATTGTTTTTTTCTCAACTTTTTGAAAATGACAGATTTTCTTCTTTGATATGAGGGTACTCATATATTTCTATAATAACAATTATTATCAGAAATTTGACATCACTTTTAACAATAAATTCAGACAAACATGAACAAAGTCTGTACATTATAATTATTCTTAGGGGACTTCAGTTCTATAACAAATAATAAAAAAAGTTAACAAATATTCCAGGTTATGCACTACAGCATGAAGTAATTCTTATAGAACAACTATAAGAGTCAGTAGAGTTTATAATCAGATATCAAAAGTAGAACTGTTGGAAGTACTTGTGTACTACGCAGTCGGGACGGAAACTCCCTTCTTATCTGATCATATATCACATCCCTTCTTATCTCGTGTAAGGTGTTGTTATCCTTCTGTTATGTATGAGTTATTCTCTTGTTTATTTTTTTGTTAATTTTGTCATCTGCTTAAACAGATATTATTACACTGTGTGTTTAATATTAGGAAATCACTTCAGGAAACAAATGAGGCTTCGTTAACTATTTGGCGGTTTTCAACTTTTCAGCACTCATTATTCTTAATTTCCCCACAAGTGATGCCACTATTTAATATTAGGAAATCACTTCAGGAAACAAACAAACGAGGCTAAATACACAAAACACTTATATTCCTCTAAATAAACATGACATAATCAGGAACAAAGGACTACTACTCTCTGGGTGACGTCACCCAAGCCAACTTGCCTTGTTTACAATGGCTCAGCAGTGCTGCCACACAACAAGCATTAACTCTACACACTCCCACCTTTACAATTTATGCTTTAAATTGTAAACTGATTTAAAATAACAAAACAAAATTTAAAATATTCAATACAAAAATGTACAGGTTAAATCATTAATTTGATAACACTTAATAAACTACTTTAACAAATGTTTTCTGCTTCCTTTTTTAATCTTGATAAGATCACTGGCTAGTAAAATTTCGAGATACATTACTCTTCTTAGCTGTTTTTTTTTTCTTCTCTTCCAGTTTTGAAAAGCTTCTTTAGGGACAATGAAGAATTATTTGTACCACCAGTTGTTACTTGTACTTTTCTAAGATCTGGTTCTGAAGGGGACCTTTGGCTGACGACAGATCTGATACTATCTCTTGTAATGCTCCTGGAAAGACTGTTTAGAGCTACAGATGTGACAGATGGTTTTACTCTAAGGGGTTGCATGAAGCGTGGAATTATCAACTGGTACCGATCCGGTCTTATCGGCAGTGCCATCATCAAGACAGCTCCTTTGTAAATAATTGTAATGGTTCGAAGATATTTCAGCTTGCTCTGACTAGTAAGACTCACTTGCACTAGAGTCAAAGCGCTGTAAAGGACTCCCTCTCGTAAGTGTTCTTGGAAGCATATAAAACCTGGTCTGTGTGAATTAAGTCTACAGTGTGAATTGCCATCTTCAGAAGAAGAAGCTATCAAATATTTTCAAAAGGTTGGGATAATTCCAAAGGTGAAATTCTGTGAAGAAAGTCATGAAATGGAGTTTGACAGGAAGATCAAATGGAGATGTTTTCGTAGCAGTTGTAAGAAAAATGTATCTATAAGAAAAGGAACGTGGTTAGAGGGGTCAAGATTACCTTTTTAACGGCTTTAAAATTTATTTATGGATGGACTAATAATTTAACAACAATACAGTGGGGCAAAGATCAGCTGAAACTATCGAACAAAAGTGTGGTAATGCGGAACAAGTTTTTAAGAAAGGTTTGTGCCCATAAAATATTGTACAACATATATGCGTTGAATGCATTAAACGTTTATGTTGTATTTCGTATAAAATTGTTATGTATGTTGTAAAATAAAAGTGTTTTGTTATTATTACATTTGTTTTCGTCTATTTCAATTTCCATAAATATGAATACAAACATAGGAATTATCAGCGCCTTATCAGAACGTTGGCAGATAGCAGTTGGACCCGACTGCGTAAGACACAAATGCCCTGTTGGACTCCAGTGAATAACTGAAGAATTTTGAAAGGAACACAAATAAAAAAGATATAATAGTCATTAATTCATTACTCTTTACAAATTTGTGATGTGTATATAATAAATTAGGGAGTGGTGTAGCTTAGTGGAATGGCACTGAACTTCCAATGCTCGAGGTCCCAGGTTCGAATCCTGGCTCATGTCAGAAAAATTATTTAATCTGTTTCATCAGAGTAGGGAGAACCTCATGGGGCATACCAAGCCTCTGCAAATTGGGAATTAAATAATCAATTAAGGGGAAAAACCTGGTTGCAGTTGAGAGTGATCCTGACTTGATCTCCTCCCTGCACAACCATTGTATAATTGATATAAACCAAAGATATTTTGATGTACAATATACATTAGTTTAATAATGTACATGAGACTACATTGGACGAGCATGGTTTCACATAAGCACCCTCCAGTCGGAAGTAGTACTGGTTCCAAACATGACCAGGGCAGGTTGAAATTCATAAATAAATTACTCTCCGCATGATCATAGTACTTATAAAAGGTATCTAAATTTAAAAAAAAACATTCTCATTAATAAAACACATGTTTTTATTACTTTTCTTCATTTCACAATCTAACACAATCAAGCCAATTTTACTTCTTAAAATCGGAAGGGTCTGTTCCCGAATTTAACACCGTGAAACAAATTCCGGATCTTCATAAGAAATGCCTTTTCCAGAAGTAAAACATAGCTGATCGCTCACTTTACATCTAGTGAGCCCCTGTCAAGCGTATATGTTGAAGAAGACCACTATTACAGGGAGGTAAACTGCAATGGTAAAAGATAATATGATATTTAACCTATCCATAATGAGGCCTGATTTTACTGAATAGCCCAAAAAAACAGACATCATTTGTATAATCATGTTTAACTTCATTTTAGCCATTATCACTAATGCATCTTTTTCACCTCCTCAAGATTTTATCACCCCATCTAGTCATTTTCGTTCCTTGGTATATTAAATTCTATCTACCTTAAGGCCTCACCGTGCTTTACGTACTAAATTTGTTATTTCTGTTTCTATTGTAATTATGAATTTCCTCTCAGAATCTTTTCTCTTATTCTGAGACTTCCTCAATATGCTTTTTGCTCGCCCTAGTTGGAGGACTTAAGAAGATCAAACTATCTGCATACATATATAATCTATTTTCAATTTATTACCTATCAACAATTATTTTGTCCATTTCAGTGATAAATTACAAACACAAATTTTTAATAAGAAAAATAATTCATACCAGCAATTTTCAGAGTGAAGGGTTTGTATTTTATGAGGAGGTTCTTTGGTTTCAGATCCATATGGGAGATTTCTTTTAAACGAAGGTATGCTAGCCCCATTGCGAGTTGCTGTATAGCTCTTCTACATATAACTTCAGGAAGTCTAATAAGCCTCTTTATATACTCTGATAAATTTCCACCTTCACAATATTCAAGAACTAAGTAAACATTCCTAAAATTATGTGAAAAATTCAATAGTTTATGTTAAACTGTAAGTCCAAAAAGATAAGAAATGGTTTGAACTATTTAAAACTAGTGAATATCTAAACGACAGGTAAATAAACTTTTTATTCATTCCTGTAAAGTACACTAATACTGACAACCCATGATTTGTTGATAGCATTAATTGTTTTCTCCCTTAAAAGAAAAAAATTAAGACTACATGAAGAGTCTTGGTATGAGTACTTGATAAGAAACTGTTGTTTCTTAGCCAAAAGTTATTCCTTCTTTACAACTAATTGAGTAACTTCAAAAGTATATATTGCTACTTAGAAAATTAAAATACAAATATAATATATATTAGCTTTTACATATAGTTAAATAACTGTCTAATAGCAATAAATGCTATGTTTTCAAAATTTGAATCTTAAGTATTTTAGGTAATTTTTTTTCTACCACAATGAATTTATTTAAGCCATAATATATGTAGCTCCATCAAGTCAAAGTTAGAAAAAAATTACCAATTATAGTTAAACAAATTTTGTAAATTTAATAAAACTGAAAAAGAATTCCCGAATTACCAACACTCATGGAATGAGGTCACGAGTAATTATGTAAATTATATTGTACAGTAAATGTAATTTGTATATTTTATTTATTTATTTTTAATAATTTAAACATGCTGAATGGAAGGAATTGGCATGGGCTAGTGAACTACATTTTTCTAATGAGGAGAATAGTTGGGGTGATCAGTCAAAGAAGAAGGCAAAAATAAATGATAATATTTATTTTGTTATTAGGCAAATGACAAAATAAATATTTAACCACTACATTTTTCTAAATTAATAAATAGTTAACTAAGTGAATTATTTATTCTCAAAACTATATATATATATATTTTTTTTTTATACTACTATGTAAATATGTATTTATACATATATAACATATTTATGTTGTAGTCAGTAATAATATATTTTATTTAGACAGGCATGAATAATATTTTTCATTTTTCAATTAATTTTACTAAAGGAACATATGTGATAATATATTTATAAAAAGATGTATTTTAGAAAATACATTGTACAGTAAATTACTTTTATTTACAAAATACTAGAAAGTATGGACTAAACTAAAACTACCATAACAAGCTTTATTTGAAGTACATATACATCTATTCATTAACATTCTAAATTATCCTTAAGTGCGCGATGTTTAAAAGAGCTGTTATGATTTGTGTAATTTACAAAATTTGAAAGTAAAACAATTTCCAATAATTTAAATATGAACAATTAATAATACTGATGTTGTTAAGATAATAGTGTCAATTTCTAAAGAAATAACAAAAGCATGAAATGATCAGATGCTTTAACATTAACTCAAAATCTACAGTGTCACAATATACTATGTACACTTATATTAAATCTCAGCTGTCTATTGATAAAGCACAAAAATAGATTTATTTGTGAATGGTTTCATTAATAGAACAGAAGATTAAATTAAAGCTATATGTTTGATTAGCCTTGGAAATTAATAACAATTGAATGTTAAGCTTTTGGTAGTGTTGGATATGATTAAGGTGACAGAAATACAAATTATCCTCTCAACCTCTCGATATAAGTCAACTGAATAAATAATCTTTATATAAAACTATATACATGATTTCAATTTGCATAACGGATTCTAAACGGTCAATCAAAACCGAATGTATTATCGAAGTGAAACCAAGTTATGAAGAGACGCTACGAAGATGGTAATGTAATACGATAATCTAACATTTAAATTTAAACAAATTGGAAATTAATAATAGAACAAGATTAAATCTGATATTATACAAATTCAGGAGGTTATGATAAAGTAAACAGAGTCAAGCTAGAATATAACTATAAAAGTCTAATGAGAACCAATACTATCTTAAATAATAATCTATAATATAAAGGAAATTGATTAAACGATAGGAGAGATATTTACTTACTTTTCATCCCATTTGAATTCCAACATTCTAACAATATTTGAATGGTTCAATAACTTCATAATTTCTATTTCCGATACAATAACATCCACTTTTCCTTTAGTAAGATTTTTTTTGCTAATTATTTTTATGGCCACCTTCTCTCCTGATACCTATTACAATTCAAATAACGAAATTTCGATTAATAGGATGAATAATAATAATTTATTCTTTCGGTAATATTTGTTAGTAAAGTGAACTCTAGAACGGCCCTTATAGGAAATAAATATATGAGTATAAAGAAAGAATTAACACGTTATTTTTCTACCAACAAAATTAATCTTTCAACTAATTGTAAAAGAGGATAACTTAAAAATTTTACCTTATGAATACCTTCATAAACCTCAGAGAAACTGCCTTTTCCAATTAAACTAGTAGAACTATATTCACTTAGAACCAACGTTTTTGAAGGGTTTGCTTTTGCCATTTTTAAGAAATATTTATTCAATCAAGTGGTAAAACAAAAGGCTGAATAGTTTAACATTGTAAAGTGACATAAACATTCAATTCAAATTTTTGATAAGGGTGCCTCCGTGATAAGCTCCGTTATCGTATTGAGTTCTCTGTATCAAAGGTTTGAGTCTAAAATGTTACATATAATTACAACACTCTTTTTCTCGCTTTAATAATACTACAATTTCATATCATTACATTAATTTCGAAATTCATTTCTCACCCTTGTGGTTGAGTTCCTAGTTTCTTGCAATTTTGCTGATGACGTCACGTGTTGTTAGTAAGGGCAGTTTATATGGCAGGTGCCAGTAGTGTTATTTAGGTGTTATTTCTAAATTAATGGGAATTTGAGGGGTTTCCTGCGAGATAACGAAGCTCTGTATTAACGAATTCTTATTTTTTTGAAATTTTAAGTTATGGATTCGGAGGAGGAGACTTTGTATGATGAAGTCGACTCAGGAAACGAATCTAGTGGAGACGATGTAGATTTTGCGATGGACGTTGGAAACAGTGCAAGAGAGAGACAACCTGACATAGATGATTACCCTTTTGAAGTTCTGTCAACAGAAGAAATTGTTCAGCATATGGTAGACTGTATTAAAGAAGTTAATACAGTTGTAGAGGTAATGTATTTTAAATGCCCTTGAATGAGGTTAGGAGATCCAAGCCATTTTACTCCTATACACTATTTATACTTTGTTCTATCAAGGTTACTTTCTGTTTATCTCCTTTTGTCATTTTTGACACTTTAATTTAATGATAATTTTTCTGAAGTTACAAAAACAATATATAGCACCCGGTTCATCAAATTTTGGATATCTTTATTAGATTCATTCTTAGTTCATAAATAGTTTGACTGACAATATATTAAAGCCATATCAAATAAATTTCTGGATTTTAAATATATCTAAAACAATAATTTCTAAAAATAAAGAAATCGTTTACAGTTATATTTTAAATGGCCGGTTGTAGGAGTTATGTGAGCTACATACATTCTTCTGTTTTGAAAAAATAGTCATTTTATATGAAGAAATTTTATTCCTAAATTAATGTATTTTAATCATTAAGTTTTTAATTGATATTCCTACCTTTCATAGATACCTGCTACCACGACCCGAATTTTACTTAATCACTTCAAATGGGATAAAGAAAAGTTGATGGAAAGATTTTATGATGGGAATCAAGAACAGCTTTTTGCAGAAGCACGTGTAGTTAATCCTTTCACGAAACCAGCAATTGTAGCGAGACCTAAGGTAATAGCTCTAATTGTTTCATTATTGAATTTATTTAATATTGAATATTTTTGCTATAGATTGGGCTCTGACTTTGTTTATTATTTATAAATAATTATAACGGCATTTTTATTTGTGTTATACATCTTAATGAATTATTTATCTAAGAAACACATCCAACAATTTTTAATTAACTTAGAAGGTCTACTGTTTTAGTGGTCTGATTAATAAAAAAAATTAAACCAATCTGTACATTTAAGAAACTGGTTTCAGTAGTGTTTTAATGTTTAAACATTAACAGTGTAACAGTTATGAAACATATAATGTTTAATAACTGGTATGCTAAGGTGTATAAAGTATTGATTTTAATGCTCAAGTGATTTATTTAATTAAAAATCATTTTTGATTTGTTTTTCATTGTGTTATATTTTGTTTACAAGTAAATTTTTTAAGTTTAAACTAATTGTTTTTTAAGGAACTGAGTGTTTGTACGTTTTTCAGTACCGCAAACAGCAGTCAAGTTCTGGAACTGAAGAATGTGAAATATGCTATACAGTTCTCCCTGGACCTGTAAGTTAATAATTTTTTTTTCTGTTTATATTAATATTTAATTGCTGTATTATTCTCTATTTATCTTGTTTTCTCTCCACTTTTTTAATGAAAAGTAGTTTACTGTTTGTTTTCCTCTTCTCTTTTTCTCGATCGTAACACTGTTATTGATGACAACAGGCATTGAGACTTTAAAGTATGCAGGGACCATATCGCCAGTTTATTTAAAAAAGTCACTAAGTACATTTTTGATTAAGCTAAAGTTTTAATTAATTTTTGTGAATTCCGATTTAATCTATTGATACAAAATACAGGAAGCGCATCGAAATGACTAATCCTTTTATATATCAAATATATTTATTACAAGTATGCAATATTCTGATTTAACTGAGAGGAAATACCATCAAAGTGCTTAGTGATTTAGTTTTATGAAATGTCTCCTAATGTTTGTTCATTAAACTGATGAATAAAATCCTCAGTATTGGGAGTATGATATGGTAACAAGAATGTGGGGAGTGGGGTGTTCAGGTTGAAAAGGCTAAAGATGAGGCATAGAATTGATGAATCATGAGAGGAAAATATGATTCTGTGCGTTTCGGTTTATCGTTGGTTTTCCTTATACTTCGGTTATTACTCAGATATGAGCTATTAAACCACTATTTTTGAGATTTTCTTTCCCCTTTTCAATTTATTCTTTTCTCTTCATCTTTCCATGTTGGTGTATTTTTTTTTTTAAATTCTTTTGTTTTTTCAGCTGTTTAGTTGCTCAGTAAATCCTGTGATATTATTTTCTTTTTTACTTTTTTGTATTATTGTCTTTTATACTTTTTTATTAAAATTAATTTACAGTCACATTTTTGCTCATCAATGTTTTAATTATTGTTAGAATTGTTTGTGGTTAGGGTGCATCCCGAAAACAATTAAAATCATGGCGGAATAAGATATGATATTTATTTTTCAATAGCTTCTCAAAAATAATCAAATGCAATGATAATACTAGTAGTATTAAACTGTATTTTAAAATTTATTTTTCTGTCTTATTTCTTTAAAAAATTTTCAAGAAACAATGAAAGAATGACAATCAATTTGTCTACATGACAATAAAGCTTACCTATAAATATTATTTACCAAACTGCCACATTTTCACATCCGTTTTAATAGTAGTTAAATCAACTTGCATGCTGGGGTATTAAGTAATCATGATGATTTAACCAATTGGATTTTCTTTTTCTTAGTAGCTTATAAAAAAGATGCTGTTTTTCATGTTTTCAATTATAATAAACAATATACTATACCTCATACAATATTTGTACACTTTTTTTCTTACCAGTTTATAATTTAATTAAATAATATATTTTATTTGATTTAGACATGTTTTATTGAATTATTTAAAGTTTTTTTTCTAACCCGGTGTTTTTCCTAATTTATATACTTAGTTTTTTTAAGTCCTGTATTGATGATATTATTCATATACATTTTTTTTTTTTTTTTTTTTGTAAATACGAACACCATTATATTTTATACTTTATTTATCTAATGATAATCTAATAAAGTTCCTTCAAGCTGACCCTACACGATAATTTATAAATGGCAGTCATAAGACTGACAAAGATTGCTTCAATCATGATGAACTCTTACACGTTTAATCATACTGACTCATTTTAACTCAGTTGATGTTGAGATAACAGGTAGTGTGGATCTGACACATTGTCCATTTATAATAATGTGTTTCATTAAAAAGGCTTATTTAGCCATTATCCTTTAAAGAATTGGACATCAAGAGAAACATGGAGATACAATAAGTTCCTAGTGCCTGAAAATCGTTTTGACAAAATTTTGAAAAATATAAGTCCACTACTTACAGAAATCAAGGAAAAATATTGTGAAAATAATAAGTTTGTTGAGAAAAATGGAAAAAGTACTAACAAATATACACAACAGTTAAAGATTAATTTTTTTCTATCAGTAAACTGTGAAGTTTCCACTTTTTTTAAAAAAATTGTCTCCTCTTGACTATTTAAAAAAAAAGTTGAAGATGGTTTATAAAAATATAAACAAGGGACAGGAAAAACTATTTACTTTTATTGAAAAGCAGGAATTCACAATGGTTGTGAGGCCTAAGTTGACTAACCAATCTAGTAGTATGGTTAGTCTCCTGACTACTTTTACCTCAGTCTCCCCTCCACTGCTCGTGATTAAACCTTTGATTTTCATAAATCCGCCAGACACGTTTCTTACATAATCAATTGGAACGTCAATACTGAAATTCCGAATGACCATGCAGAATCCGTATTAGAAGTTCAACATTGCAATTCCAAATGACCATGTAGAGTCTGTGTTATAAGCTCAACGGTCACATAATAAATGTCTATTTCTAACATTTTCCCCATATTACTTCTCCATTTTTTGATGAATGTTTTATGCTTTTTCACCTTGATTAATTTCTTACTGCATAATGTGAACCTTATGGGTAATGCTCTTGTAACATTAAAAAAAAAAAAAAATCAGTTTATCAGCAATTGACACAGCTATCTCTTGTTGATGTGTTCTGCTGAATATTGATAATTTACATCCACTATGTGACTATTTCTACTTATTCTATATTTAGCACGTAAATCTGATCGGTTTATTATTTTATTGCTTTCTGCTACTCAGAATAATTTTATTTAAATTAATATTTCTGCTAACATGTGCTCTTTTGGGTAATCCATCATCTTTGGGAACAGAGCAATGGTTAATATTAAACATTTATAAAGTTCTATTACAGTTTTCAGTATAATTAAGATTACTATCGATCTCTTATTGTTAAAGGTAAGTGATAGATATCTAATTGTGTTTGCTTTAGAGGTAAATAAACCAAAATTTTTGCCATGAAAATCAAGTTTAGTTTATTTTAAATGAATAAAATTCTTTAACTCTATATAATAGTGTGTAGTAACAGTATGGAGGGGAAATTGCAACAACTGGATATAATACAAATAATGGAAAGCTGAACAAATATATATATATATATATATATATATATGTTTTCAGAAATAATGTTGCAATATAGAAGAACAGGCAGGTTATCTTAATAACAAAGTGAAATATCTGAAATAATTAGAGAGGCAAGCACCATATTTATTTATGTGGAGAATATACAGCCTTTTTTTCTGTCCTCACCTTTTAGGTTATATGGGTTTTTTCCAAAGCCAAGGGAGATAGCAGAAGATTTGAGTCAGAATGTAAAGCTCCTCTGGCACCGGAATGTGAACTTATTATTTTATAACTTATCTTGTTTATCAGGTTGCCAGGCAGCGGTAGTCCGCTCGGCCATCGCCCCCAAAAAAACAGAAGGAAAAATATAAAGCTAGTAATCCTTACATTAGAAAGTTCTTATGTCCTAAATAATAAAATTACCGTCTGTTCTTTCATAACTGAATGTCGAAAATTTGAATAAGTTAACTTAGTGAAAGAACTAGCTCTCAGAAGAGAGGAGTTGTTTTGTAAAAATAAGAGTAATTTGGATTTTCATCTATATTGCGTGTATTGAACCGCTTTTGAAAAATCAAAGTTTTTTACCTCTCCTACTCTTTGTGTGTTGAAAATGCTAAGAAAAAGTATATTTTTTCAAACATTTCTCCATAATGAGTTAAAAAAAATTTAGTTTCTCCGTGTTTTAATAACTAATTTGTTGAAATAATCAGAAACTGAGATATGGAGCTGCTAAAATATGCAAACATATTTTTTTTTTAACAAATAGCTAGATATGTCAGTAGTTGGTCATTAGTATATATTCAATAGTATTCCAAGCTGGAACAAAAATAATTTTCTAATGCCATTAATCTCTCCTTTGATTTTTAATTGAACGCCAGACAACAATCCAGTTCTTTCAGTGTATCTGACTATTCTTTGACAAGTGACTCATCCACAACAAACTACAAAATTAAAACAACTGACGAGGCGATGCTGGAAATTTCTGATCCATATCATTTTATGAAGATTAAATGTACCCAGGATTATTTCAGGTTGATGAAATTTCATTTTTAAACTTAAGGATCTTGTCAATATACTCATGAAGATATTTGCCTTTCTCCATGTTACCTTGTCGACCTAAATTCAAGTTAAACAAAAAAAATAATGATCCAGATATCTGCTTCACCAATGATGTTAAATTTTAATCGAGGTTTTCACTACGAAGCAATTGAAAAAAATCTTAAAACCTAAACTTATTTGTATGCTCTTGCAAAGATATTATGAAAGAATTATTGGATCATATCTAATAATCTATAAGCTTACCTCGAATTGTTTAAATCCATGTTATGTTTATTTGGAATTCAGTCGAAATCTTAAGTTTAAACTAAACATTCCCCATTGTTATTTCCAAGAGAACATTTATTTATTTATATGTATATATTTACATGTACATCTATTATATTTTTCAATTATTGTACACGTCAGCTGTATTTATACTATCGTTGGTTTTATTTATAAATATAGCTTTGTTATATGTGCTTTTTTTTTCTATATCGTATAGTTAAAAAAAAAATTAGTATTTGTCGTTAGATAGTATGAATCAGGTTAGGAAGTGAGAGAAAGAAAGTAACGTATAAGGGTAGAAAAGAAACGGAAATAATGAAAAAAGAAATAAAAAATGTTATCTACTCTTTTTTTATTGATTTGTATATTAGTTTTAAAAAATTGTCTATTGCAATTAAACAAGTATGCTGTGTATTAAGCAACCCAGTATAACCAGGCAGGGTCCTTTTATGAAAAATAAAGTGTTGCTCTCTAGTGAAGTATAAACATCAATTAGTTTATGAGTAACTTCTGAAGATTATTATTAAAAACAGTTCATTTTTTGTAAAATATTAATCCAATAATTATATAGAATAGAATAGAGAAATCAATCTTATTCTGGGATATAGTCCCTTAATAACAATATTGTTCACACAAATTAATATAAGACCTGGCCAAAATACTTATTTAATTAAAGAATAACTAAAACATTAGCAATAAGACTGATATATACATAGCTAAGAAGATATGCAATATAAAAGAAAGCAAAAGAGCAATATGGTTACAATACTGTAAGATATTTGCTAAAAACAATAAAATACTGTTGTTATTTTCAGATGATGACTGGGCTTGAGTGTGGACATAGGTTTTGTACATCATGCTGGGGAGAATATTTGACAACAAAAATAATGGAAGAAGGTGTTGGACAGACAATAGCTTGCGCCGCACATGGATGTGACATACTGGTCGACGACGCCACTGTCATGCGGCTAGTTAGGGACTCTAAAGTTAGACTGAAATATCAACACCTTATTACCAACAGCTTTGTAGAGGTTTGTTTTTCAATATTTTAAATTTGTAAATATATATTTCTTCAAATCCTTGAGTCTCAGTATTGATTTAATTCAAATTTCAAGAGAATTAAAAATAATTTTGAGTTACAAATAGTTAGATTAATAGGAAATTAGTCTTTATATATTTTTCGAATGTTGTGAAAGGACAGAACATTTGTGAATGTGAATGTTGTGAACTGAAAAACGTTTTCAGAAAGTGGGAAAAAAAGTCAATTTTAGTTTTCTAGTGTAAATATTGTAATTAAGTATGAATGTTTTTCTATTTTTTTATTTTACTTATAATTTATTTAATTTTGCTACGAATTTCTGTATTTTATTTAATTTTAACTCTAAGTTACATTTCCAAGGTTTATTATATTTTTTGCCTTTGTTGTATAGATGTTTATTTTTTTTTTATTGTATTGTATATATGGTATGAATGTGCCTCACTCAGCTTTAGTACTCAGTGCCGTTAAGTGTGGCAAAATGTATTATTTCTCAATACAAAGATATATATAAAAAAAAAAAGTTTTCTAGGTTCAACTGTTTCTGATGATTTATTTAAGAATGTTCAAGTTGTATCATGAAAAAAAAATCGTTAAAATTAGTTAAATTAAAGCGATATAACAAAAATTGGCTTTTTAAAAATGACAGAGTACTCAGTGCCCTTAAGTGTGGAAAAATGTATTATTTCTCAATAAAAAGATATATATATAAAAAAAAAAAAAAGTTTTCTAGGTTCAACTGTTTCTGATAATTTATTTAAGAATGTTCAAGTTGTATCATGAAAAAAAAAATCATTAAAATTAGTTAAATTAAAGCGATATAACAAAAATTGGCTTTTTAAAAATGACAGATGTCCGTTTTTGAAATAAAACCTCTGGCATGTATTATAGTGCTTTAAAATGTCCTCAATTGTACCATTAAAACACATAAAGCTAACATTTTATTTCGTATCATAGTATTGTTATCTCATTTTTGCTTAGACTCTGATTAAGACCTAAAACTTGGGCCATAATTTGAAAATATTTTTTTGTGTACTTCATTGACTGAGAGTTCTGACCAACTTCTCTAACTTAAAAGATTCTTGTTGAGATTTGAGAGTGAATAATACGTTTTTGTATAAATCTTCAATGGGTAGTTTTGGATGAAATATTGCTGTTCTCACATTGAAGCATTAATATTTTGAAGTTATTATACTACGGCCATCTAAATCTAGACTGAACACAGTAAAACAAATAAAAAATAGTTCACAGAATGAAGTATAGAGCCAAATAGTATGAAAAATAATAACAATAAAGATCTAGGGAAAATTGTATCGGTAACGATTCTTATTTATTGAAGCTATATGAAATAAACCATTAAAAGTAATTATCAAATTACAGTGTAAAAAATGTTTATGTGATGACCTACCAAAATTTAATGTATACTTTAATTTTAATCTGAATACAAATGAATATGGAATATTTGTTTTTAAATTTATTTTAAAAATATAGGTTGCAATATTTGATAATAAGCTGGTTACTCGTTTTTTGCACCAGCGTGATGACAATAATATGGTTTTGGTGTTAAACATCAGGAAGGCTTTCATTATTGCTATGATCTCTATTTACTTTCTAGTATTTTTATATATTAAGATATAGATTTTTTGTTATTTTAATGTTACTAAATAATTTTTAATAACAGCATAACTATATAATGATTAAAAAGGAATGTGAGTATCCATAAATTTTTAAAAATAAATTTAGTAAAAATTAACTTAAGATTCCTTAACACTGGAACAGATTATGTTCAGAAGAAGAATCAAATTTAAACATTTTATCTAAGATTGTATGGAATAATTTAATCTTGGTTTCGATGTTTTTATATGAAAAAATAGACCAAATATTTAGGTTTTGATCTAGTGCTTTATTTTAATATGAGAGATGATTAGTAAATAAACCATACTTAAAGGATATAGAACATAAAAAATTTCTTTCAAACTCAGTTGAGCTGTTTTTACATGTAACAAAAACTTAATATACGTATATATCATTTTACAAGTATTATTTCATTTCAAGGAACATTAAATTTAATTTTAATTAAATTAGTTTATTGTCTGTGAGTGAGGTAGCTCAATAGTAGAAAACTGACTTCAAAGACTCAAAGTCCCGGGTTCGAATACAACTGATGGCAGATAAATTATTTATTCTCGTTGGTCGGCCATGGATTAAACCTGGGTTGGGGAGATCTCGTTGGGCACACTCAGCCCCTATAAATTGGGCGCCCTTAATATAAATTATTAATTAAGGGAGAAAACCTGACAGTTGGGCGTGATTTCAGTCAAATCACCTCCTTGCACAACTGTAGATCAAGAAACAATATATCTCTATATAGTACTAAATCCAAGACCCTTCATGAGTTGTAAGTGGTACAGGTAGTTTATTATCTATATTTTAAGATTAAGAACAGTAAGTTGATGTGATAAAAATGATTTCTGAGTTAATTTCGCAGCTGCCCCGTAATTCTGAAATATTTTTATCCCACCACAACCAAAACCGAATGGACTTCTCCTGAAGCAATGGAAATTAAATCACTGATATGGGAATTGAAAAAGACCGTATTCAGAAGAAGACTTCAAAGACTTTTTATTATGCACCATTTTATATACAAAATTTACGTTATACTAGTACACAATTAGGTAGTCGCACCTTTAGTGCTGTTAATAGGATAACTGAGGACTGGCAATGTTACTTCCTGATAGAAATAATGAGTCCAAACTTTCACATGTTAACTAGCAACTACTTTTATTTCTTCCTTTCCAGATTTAGAATTTAGTTTTTATGTATTTATTCATTGATTATGTGCAAGAATTGAACATTTATCTTATAAAATCTTTCATAAGTTTAATATGATTTATTTGTTAATATTTTAGTGTAATAGGCTCTTACGCTGGTGCCCGTCTCCTGATTGCAATAATGCTATAAAGGTCTCATACGTAGAAGCAAGACCGGTCGTTTGTAAATGCTTGCATACATTTTGCTTCGCATGCGGCGAAGCTTGGCACGATCCAGTCAAGTGCCATCTTCTAAAAAGATGGATAAAAAAATGTGATGACGACTCCGAAACTTCTAATTGGATTGCAGCTAATACTAAGGTAACTCATTTAAAAATAAATAAAATTATAGAACTACATTTCTTTTTGGATTAATTATATTGTTTTTAAATAATTTGATATAGATTATGTCACACTTGGGCAAAATTTAATCGGACAATGAATAAATAATAATAAATTAAAATTTATTTTTGTTTCAATCACTAAAAATAATATCGTATTTATTCATTAGTGATTGAAAAATAACCAGAATAATCTTACTTTATTCAATAACCAGTAACATCTGAATTAAATTTATTCAGTGAAAATAATGGCTGAATAAAAATTTATTCTTGACGAAAATTCACTGAATAACCGTTATTCAACAATTAATCATTGCATAAATACATACATATATATATATATATATATATATACTTTTTTTATGGTAATGAAATTGTTACATCTAGTTTTTTAAAATTATGTTTTCAGTATATAAAATAAGGAAATATTAATTAGTTAACTATCAATTCTCGGTTTTGTGCAATCCATTATTATGTTTTTGGATCTTTAGAGAAATCTTTAGCTTTTTAAAGAAAAACTTTGTGATTTCAGAATGCACATTAAGATTTTGTACCTTTTTGAATTTGATCAATTTTAGGTTGTCGGGGGCTCTTTTTATGAAAATACTGCCTGATTTCAGAATGCGTAATTGCTCATCATGTTTTTGAGACTTTTCGGAATTGGAATCGATATTAGAGTCCATTATTATGTTGTTGGGGGCTCTTTTTTATGAAAATACTGTCGGATTTAATGATGCACGATTGTGTACATATATATTGTTACATCTCTCTTATATTTTACAAATAATAATAATATAACCTTGGAAGATCGCTTTAATACTATTGGGATACTTTCTAAATAAATAAAAGGTTATTAAATAATAAACAAAATTATAAGAGTATTAATATATTTATTAATCTCAGACGTGGGTTACTGACAATCAGATCAAAACTCTCAGACAAACTAAAAGTAACTAAACTAAACACTGTTTGATTTTAAAATAAAGTCAAGTATGAATTGGCAAGCTAACCTTTTTTCTATGGATACTGTTTCTTTCTTTGTTGCACTGAATCCATTTGTCTTCAAATGATTTCCAATCTTCTGCTAAAATACAACTTCCACAATGGTAATACTTTCTTCTACTCAACTCAAGCTCACTGGGAAATCCTCTCTCTTGTTATTCGAAAGAACTAGTCTCTCTGCCAAACAACAACTTCCAAGGTGGTAATACTATTGCTGTGTTTTTTCCACTGGAGTCAGGATCACTTCTATCCTCTCTTCACTGCACAACTGCTTGCCAAAACAAAAACCTTTGTCCCTCTCCTCTTTGGGATTTTCCTTCTTGGGAAACTACAGAGCAGCCATTTTCTTTTCTCTGCTCTAGTAGAACTAGTTTAGCTTGCCTTTTAATTGTTAAACATTAATTTATTAAAACCTTTATAGTCACTTCTAATAAAGGTGTACATTACAATATACTTGTCATCAAAAGAACCTCTGACAATCGATCAAGCCTGAAAAGTTACAAAAAAGTGATGTGCATTCTTAAATCGGACAGTATTACCATAAAAAGAGCCCCCGACAACATAATAATGGATCCTAATATCGATAAAATACTAAAAGTTACAAAAACTTGAAGCGTAGTTGTGCTATCCTAAATACCGCATTATTTCATATAAAAAAAAAATATATATATATTCTCTGCTCCCCGTCAGTTCAATTCATTGGCTGGCAAGTACTCATTGATTAGATCTGTGGTGCTTCTTAAAAGAGCATTTATTAACCAAAAATGTCAAAGTTGGTGTCATTTGTATGATTATTATGTTTATAATAATAAAGAAACTAAATTACTTATGAGAAACTGCGTTAATATTAGAATCTCCCGTAACTCACTTCATTTTATAATGGAGAACAGAGCTTTATATATCAAGTATCAACTTTTACCTTCTCTCTCATAAATTATCATTTATTTTTGCCTTCTTTTTTGACTGACCACCCCAACTATTCTTCTCTTCATTCTCCACGACAGTCAACCATTTACCAATTAAAAAAAATATAAACTTTTAATGAATGCTTAGCTTTTTCCAAGTTTCCAGCTGTCTGTAAAAAACAGTTGAGTGCAGAAACAGTATAAGTCTGAATCAAATTTTAAATTTTCCTGAGGCTAATTTATGTCAAAATTAGGTAATTTTTGCATGGAGTCTACATAAATGCATGTTGTTATGACAGAGGAAAAAAAAATTTCAAATATTTGAAAATTTGGAGGAGTTATGACGTTTTTTCTCTCTCCTGAAAAATTTGAAATTTGTTATTGAAGTGATTTATGCACTAACCGATTCAATTGTTGTAGGTATTTTTTAGGTGCGCCAAGGCAATGTTGCGTGTTTCTAATAATTTCTTATAAATATTTATTTCAATGATAATTTATTTGTTTTCCTTTTTGGTAGGAATGCCCGAGGTGTAATGTAACAATTGAGAAGGATGGAGGATGTAATCACATGGTTTGTAAAAATCAGAATTGCAAAGCTGACTTTTGCTGGGTTTGCCTTGGACCATGGGAGCCTCATGGATCTTCTTGGTAAGATCTCAAAAAAAGATTAATATTATTTTTTACGAATGATATATAAAAAATAATGTTCAGTCAACACTCAATGGCTTAAATTTCACTGATGTAACAAACCGTTCCAAGTCAAGAATAGATTAAGTCAATATTTTGAGTAATCGGTAGAAGTCAGCTTCTTGGCATTTTGTGTTTAGAGAAAAAAAAATACATGAACTCCAATGAAGAGAATTTAAAATTCTAAGGTTAGACTCGTCAGCATTTAAATTTACAGGTAGGCTAGTCCTTCAAATATAATTATTTTCAAATTTGTCAGCATTGTACAAACATTTATGCTGTTGTTAAATATTATAAACAAACCTATGAATTTTGTATAATGATTAGTAAATTATCCAAGTGATTTGTTTAAACCATTTTGTGTTCATTAATTTGATGAAAAGTTTGAGTGACGATTGTGAATTACAATAAGATAGTGTTATAACTAACAATTTTAGCTGGCATTGATTTAATTCATTTGCGGAAGTTGTATGTTTGTTGTGGTTTTAAAGAGTAAAACATCCAGGTCATCAATGCCTGCAAATTAATTTGTATATTTTATTTATTTGCAGAAGTAAATAGTTAATTTGTTCAAATGAAAGGGGTAAAATTCATCATGAATTAATTATTGTTGTGTTGGCTTTATTTATTCTAAACAAGGTTTTCCCAAGGAATGAGAACATAAGGGTAGGATATGTATTATGTTGGGTACCATCAATCAAGAACAATCACAATGATTGTCTTTTTATTTTTTAATGTTTACTAGTGCCTGGAAAATAAGTAAGCAGTGTTAGTGTACTTGTTATGTTTTTAAATAATTATTTGTTAAATTTTAAAAAGAATAAAAATATGCAGTAACGAAATTATTTATTATGAACTAATTTATGGTTTAACGACGGGAGGAGCCATGTCGGTTAACATATAGCGGAATAATTTAGTTGTAAGTAAGATTACAAATTTTAAACAAAACCTCCATTAATTAGATTTTTTTTTTTAAACTAGGTATAATTGCAATAGATATGATGAAGAAGAGGCTAAAGCTGCACGTGATGCACAAGAAAAATCTCGTGCAGCACTTCAGCGCTATCTTTTTTATTGCAATAGATATATGAATCATATGCAATCTCTTAAGTTTGAACATAAATTGTATGCCTCTGTTAAAGAAAAAATGGAAGAAATGCAACAACATAATATGTCGTGGATTGAGGTAACTTTTAAATATTTCAGTGAAGTAACTAACCTCCTTACCATGGGTTCAGCATTCCTCTTAAACTGAAATTATAATTTGAAGCGAAGATTTTAATAATTTTTTTGAGTTTAACCTTTTAATTTATTTTGAATTTAATTTCTAAGAACTAAGCTTTAAAAGTGACTTTCTCGCAGTATTTACAATTGAGATTGCTTGGAAACTTAATTTTTAAAACTTTTTTTTTAAACTTTATGTTTTAATGATCTTTGCTGTTGATTCAGCATATCACATATGAGGAGGGTATGTTTCTTCCTAATGAAATGACAACAATAATGAGCAATAATTTGATAATAGAATAAATATTTACTTTTGAATAAGAATTTCTGACCTTTAGAAATAGATTACAATTTATTTAGATAATTAACAATTGTATGTGCTGTAGATTATACTTTTTTTAAACGTACCTAATTAGCTGGCCCGTGCGAATAATTCGCAGAAAATTTTGTTTAGTGAAGAAGTACCAAAACAATATGGAAATAAGTAGATCCAATAGGATAGTACAATAGGTACAATCTATTGTATTATGTAAGGAAGGAATTAATATTTGTTCCTTGGTCGATTAAAATATTATGTTTAACATAGTAGACCAAAATATTTGTACAAATTCCTTTGCTGGGACTTATTTTTAAACGCTGACTGGAAAAATAATAAAGACAAAATAAAGCCTTGATCATGAGATTTTCTAAATTATTGAAAAAAAAATAAAATGTAAGAACAAACAAATGCCTTTAAGAAATAATAAATTTAATATATCAACCAGGAAAAAAAAGTAGAATAGTAAATGCAATATCTTTAAAGAGGAACAACTTATTAAGTATACCAAAACTAATGGACTGTATCTTTGTTAATAATTGTGCGATTTTTACCTTTTTTTAGGTAATTTAGTAATCTTTCTAATTATCATGTGTACAAACAAGAAAAAAATTCATACTCTTTGAGTTATTTGCAAATAAAGTTTCTTTTCCTTCATAACTTTTTTCCCAGAAATTTCAGGGGAATAGGACTATTTTTCGCATGTGAAGGAGAAGAATATCTTCAAAATGAGTGGTCAATCATTGGATTTGATGAAGAATTGACGAAGTTATGGCGTACCGATAAAAAAACACCTTTTAGAAATAATATATATAGGATTACTTATATGAGGAGATTTTTGAATAAGTATGATTTGAATGAAGTTATAGTGAGGTTAAACAGACAGAAATATATTAATCACACCTAAAAAAGCCCCTAGACTATCAATATTATCTTCGATTCATGGTACAATAATATTTCAAACCTGTGCAAACCCACTTGACATAGTATCATTGCCCAATAATTTAATTGATGGGTTGTTAAGGTACTATTTGGCTGGCGCGGTCGACGACAGCGACCGCTATTCCCCCATACCAACCGCTGTTGGCGTACCTATTTCGCTGAAACTGCTCACTGGGGTTGTTATAACCTGCCTAAAACCTTCGAACATTTCGCTGTATCTTCGAAGATAAAAAGATGGACATAATATAAGAATAAAAATGAACTTCCTATAATAATGAACATCTCTGACTACCGCTTTTTTATTTGAGTTGGAAAAAGAAGAGAAAATGTTGTTCATAAAGAGAAGGAATATCAGTATTTCGATGTGATGCTCATCATCAAAGTTCCTCTGATATTACATATTATTAGTTTGAAAAATAATAGTAATTAATACATAATTGGTTAGTAATAAATATCATATATTTGTAATTAAATCTCAGCAAGCGATGTTTTATAGTTTTATCAATAGTAATCAGTAAATCACCACTTTAATTAAAAAATACAAATCGTTTTTTCAATGGGTGGATTTTAGTATTTACCTGACGATAAAATTTGTTGGATTCTTTAATTTATTTAATATCGTTTGGATTTAGGTATATTTGTATTTCGCTGTAAAATATTGCTGGTGGAATAAATAAATAAATAATCTTGTTACTTCAACCTCAAAAAAAAATTTACTATTGCATTGTTTCAGTTTTAAACAATATTTGTTATAATTTTGCCAGACTTGAAAGAAACATAGGAAATAAAACTTATCAACGGGACTGTTATCATCAAAACAATGCTCCGATCTGATAACATAACCTACAACCGCCGAACCGCCAACAGCTCCACTGCTTCAAGAGGAGTCAGATACGGCAGCTTAGATATGACGTCATACCTAAACTGCCGAGCAGCGCCAGCGAAATAGGTTCCTTTCTATTCCACTAAAGCAGTGGTCAACCGCGAGCAGTCGCGGTCGTGGACCGCGCCAGCGAAATAGTACCTTTAGTGGTACAGGTATAGTTGTAGACTAATGTTTAGATGGCAAGATAGTGTCAACTTTTTCTGTCAGGTTTTTTTTTTATAATCAAAATTAGCAATATGATCATATTTATAGCAACGTTGTTATCTTAATTTAACCTCTGAGTTAATTAAATTAATTATTGTTTTAAGTTAATATTTGAGGATATATATATATTTTTTAAACTATTTATTTCTGTTTTCACTCAGGTACAATTTCTGAAACGTGCTGTTGATATTCTTTGCCAATGCAGGCAAACTCTAATGTATACATATGTTTTCGCATATTATCTTAGAAAAAATAATCAATCAGTGTTATTTGAGGTAATTTTTTTTTGTCTATATATTTATTTTCTTATGTTTCATTAAGTAGTTGAGTCTTGTTGAGTAATATAAAACTTTTTTTCAGGATAATCAGAAAGATCTAGAAAGTGCTACAGAAACTCTTTCAGAATATCTTGAAAGAGACATCACTTCTGAAAATTTAGCAGATATAAAACAAAAAGTCCAAGATAAGTATAGGTCAGTATTTTAATATTTTTTTAATCTAAAATATCTTTTACCTCTTTGATATTTGGATCTTTCAAAGATACCATACTTTGCATAGCACTTATGTTTGTAACTATTGCATGGTTTTTTTTCAAAACTTTTTGATCTGACGTATGTCCACCACAGATTTATAATTATTTTAATACTTCGTTAATTTCAATTTATACCATATTCTCTTATATATTTTTTTTATTAAATTGTTTAATTATTCTATAATTGCAGGTATTGCGAAAGTAGACGAAAAGTTCTTCTAGAACACGTTCATGAAGGCTATGAAAAAGAATGGTGGGAATATACGGAATAGTGATAAAAGAAGAGAAAAACTAACGAAATAAATGTGTGATATAACATTAGTGCATCAACTGAAGTGAGGCACGATTCTAGGATGAATAAGTTAAATGTATATGTATATATACATATATTTAGGAATGAAGTTGAAAGTGTACAGAACAATTGAAAAGTATATATTTATATAAGGACTAACAAATACATATATATTTGACATTGTAGGAAAGTGTGTCTAATATATATGAATAGATGTTATGAGTTTATTTATTAGGCTATTACTAAGACAAGTACAGACTTTTTTTTTACTCAACATGAAAATCATTAAAATTATTAAGATTAATCGAAATGCAATAGATTTTATTCTCATTGCGAAATTCCAGCTTTCTTTGAAAAAAAAATTAAAATATGTTTTGTTTGGTTCCTAATTTATTAAATTTGTTTTCGAGTATTTTTTTTTTTCCTTTGTTTGTTTTATGATGTTTCATCATGGCATTGTATGTAATTGCGAGATGTTCTTTCTTTCTTTTTTTAATATATAATTTATTTTTTGATAAATGGGACAATGAGAGGGAAACGTAATATATGTACTGTCAACTGTGTTATATTTTATCATTGATTTTTGACTTATCAGAAATTGTACATATTTATGTATACATATATATTTAAGATTATATAATTATGTTGTAGAGAGAGAAGAAATTTTATTCATGAAAAATGAAGAAAAAAAAGTCGTATCGCTGATATAGAATTGTTAATTTCCTTTTATTATAGTATCTTAAATAATATAAATATCTTTAGTGGTTTATCTCAGAGTTGATTTAAAATAACACAATTTCTTTTCCAAATTAGCTTTACACTTATTGCTTTTTGCCTTTTGTTTTATCTTCTTAAAAAGATGCTTCACTCTAATGTTATAGGCCTATGTACACCATTGTATTTTGTTTTGTTTTTTTCAGTGGTCACAGAACTGCAAGTAACTTAGCTCCCTTTTTGGTTTGAATTGCCACCTAACTGCACTTTGTAAAGATCTAAATAATGGAAAAGCAGAGTAGATTCAGATATTAAAAGTTACCACCCTCTGAGATTTTTTTATGTTTTTTTTTGTTTCGGTTTTTTTTTTTTTTCACACACTCGCATACCAACATGTATTCATATGTGTGTGATATATGTATATACACTTTTATATATCACTGTACAATGTATACACCTGTTGTTTCATTGTTTGTGAGTTTGTTTTTGCATACATATATCATATGTATGTTAGGGTTTATATGTTGTGATTTTTCTGTAGGCAATTTTTTTATTGTCTATGTAATTGTATTATATGAAAGATGTATATACTATAAAATAAAAACCAATTGCATATTTTTTCCTATTAAGATTATTATTCTTGTTTATTTTACTAGTCATGTGTAGATATTTTAATTTTGGAAATAATAAAAATTTTATATGCCTGAGCATACAAGGATGGATGGTTTTATAACTCAATAAAATTATGTATCTAATTTATGTTAGGCCTACCTTGTTCCTCTAATCTTTGTTACATATTCTCCATTACATGCTTGTTTATTGTTCTAAGAATTTAAAATAATATTTTTAAAACTTTTTTCTATTTGAAAAAAAAATGGCTTTTATTTAATTTCGTATTCAGATATAAATTTTAACCTATTACTATCCCTTCCCTATACATCCAATTGATATCTCAGTGTATATATTTTTTATTTATTTTTATTGAAAAATATAAATACTGGTTTTTATAAACTGATATAGAATTAATTTGATTGAGGTTATCTCTGATGTGGTTAACACCAGCCTATAAACCTCAGGCTGATAAACATTAGGGCAAGCTTGAATTTTTTTATATCAGTTCTTAAACTTCTTGACGGATATATATATTTATATTGGATTAAAACACCAACAAAACTGAAAATAATTTTTTTTTCTACTAGTTTGCATTTAAAACATTAAATCTATTATGAGATTAGTATTCTTTCTAACTCATACCAAATAACTTTAGTCCCTTAATCCCCAGTCAAGAACCAATTCTGCATATAAATTGAATGAGTATGTAAAGTATATATCAAGAAATGAGAACTATAGAAGGCACAGGGCTAAGAAGAACCTTTCAATCTCATAAATAATTATCTAACCTGATGACGTTTTTGAAGTAGGTATGGCTAATGATTTTATTTTAAAATATAATAAACTAATTACCTGGCCAACTTTGGCAGATAGGAGCACTTCAGGATTTCTTCATCTTAACATTGTTGAATGAGATTAAAAATCTATAGGTTTTAATTAATTTAATAACATTGTGTTGGCGGAAGCTGTATTTGAGAAAGTTTCATTTTGGTGAAAATGATGTATTATAAAAATTTATGATGTAGAGATGGTTGACCGTTGATATAATATGAGAAGGAGTTCATTGGGTGGTGCGGTCAAATTAATACTAAATTAAACAAGTTGAATTAAATAATTTTATTATTATTTAATTTTATTTATTTTTAAATATTATTTATAATATTTTTAATTATTTATTAATTAAATATTATTTATAATATTTTTCATTTTATTAAATAATTCAATTTGTTTAATTTATAGTATTAATTTGACCGCACTCCCCCGATCAACTCCTTTTCATAAAAATTTATCATTAGTTCTTAACTAAATATCAGCTATATAGTATATTCATCATCATAAATATGAGCTATTTTTAAATTATTACCTTCCGAATCATATCTTGACTTGTTTCTTATTTTAAATAAATTGCATTCAAAGCACAAATTGAAAGTCATGATGCAAAAGCCTTTAAGCGCTAATACTGAAATTTTCAGACAAGGAAAAAAAAAATGCTCAATTTTTATTTTATGAACTAGATTTTCTGTTCATTATTGAAGACGGAGATGTAAAGTTCGAAACTGCAGTTTTTAATAAAATTATAACAAGAGTTTATTGAAATAAAAAAATTGTTTGCTTTCTTTCTCCAATTGTTTCTGCTTTTCATGTTATAGGGGTTCTCTTGAAAATATTAATTGAATTAAAATAAATAATGGTTGTGGCCTACCAGTCTACCAGCCAACCAGTGGCCTACCCACTATATTGCATAGCCTAACAGAGTTATTTATATATTTCTATTAATTTTTTTTTTTTTTTATACTGATACAATGAATATACAATCGATTTAAAAAAAAAATTAATTTAAATTGTTACATGTACATGTTCCGTTCAATAGAATGCAAGCAATATTCAACATGCATAAAAGCCAAATGTTACTGAAAAAAATTAGAATATCTTGAAAAATTAAAAAACAATAGTGAAGTGATAAATATTACAGCAGTTTATATGAATGAATACTTTTTTGGGGGGTGGGATGAATTGTAAACATTGTCATTTTATTTGTTAAAGATTAAGAAAAATCATACTGCAGACTAATTACTAATTTTCTAACAATATATTTTATTACAAAACTATTATTTATAACAACAAAGAAGCTGAAGATTAGGAATCATCTAGATTGATTAAAAAACAATTTTCAGTTTATTAACCAATTTTACCAGAAACAGGCAAAACTTGACTATACTTTAACTTTATATAAAAAAATCAAGTCGTATTAGAGAAAAGTCATATCATGTCTATATTTCCAGATATAAATCTATATTATACATCTAAAAATCTTATAATTTATTTCATGACAAGGCAAGCATATTCTATTGGGGAATATTAAAACTACTAATTTCGTAAAACTGCTCAATAACTTATCAAAAGTTATCAGCCTGGCTCGTTACGGAGTTAGGTTGACCTGTTTAGGATGAAAACTGAGACCATATGGAAACATTAGAACATGTATCACTCGTACAATACCAAAGAACTGTGAATCCTAAATGTTTTTAACTGAGAATTGGGTTTGGAAGTGTGGTTAAAGATCAAGTAGCTAGTTTCATATTCTGTGTGGTGTTATTTATATTATTATTGTTCAATATTATTAAAAGAATGTTCAACAGACAAATAGTTTTAAAGTATTAAAAGTAATACAATAAAATCATCAATAATTCATGTATTGAGGAAGAAGTGAAAAACAATTAATCTTTGAATATTAAATATTCTCCATTAATTAAGGAGCAATCCTACTGAATCAGTTAACTTGATTTTCAATAGTTAACTTTAAATAACATATATGATATCAGTACTAAGTTTAATTTAATAAATTAAATTAAGTACCAGTCTTAATCATTATTAAATACACCTATCAGCCATTACTATTCAATACAATGATATTTTTTATGAACTAAGACTGAATCAAATCACAAAAAAAATAGTCTCTAATTTTAACTTATAATTATTATAATTGGTTCAAGGAACAAAAGAATAGTTTTAAATTCAGAGAACACTAAATATAACAATATAAACTTAAACAGATGTTTATCTATTTACAATAAATATAAAAGTACAAATACTTTTTATTTAAATAAATTAAATTATCTTAACAATGAATAAAACATAAAAATAAAACAAATTTGATCATATTAAAAAAAAACCTTTAAATCTATGATTGTTTTGAAGAATTAATTATTCTATTACATGCCACTCCATCACATAAATGGAGAAATGAGGTTGGGATTATACTTTGAAAAAAAGTTGAATAATGAAAACTTTTTCATAACTTCATTCAGAAATCTTGTCTCAAAACAAGTCTGTTTTATAATAATTAAAATAATCTCGATTTATTTCCATGCCTGTTTGAGGGCTTTACGAGATGCAAGCTTCTTTGTGATATAAGCAGCAGAAATAAGGCCACTTAGAACGGCTGTTATCAACCAATATTCAAAGTCATCTTTAAGGACGTCAAAAGTTCTTGAAGGAGCCACTCTAGTATAAAATAAGTCTGAAACAAAAACAAAAGGGAAATCTTAATTTATATTAATCCTTGAAAATATAAAACCTTTTAAAGTTGAATAATTTTCCTCTGATACCAAGCAGTCTCAAGATCTTAACTTCTTGACTCCTCTTCAAGTCTTTAAAAAAAAAAAAAAACTAGACTTCCGAACTTCATGGAAAAGTATAATATTTTCACATTACTTTTTTTAACCTCCTGATTGAGCATAAAAAGAAAAAATCGAACTAACTGTTTTTAGATCCAAACCCTCAACATACCACTCTTTTTTTGTTGCTGTATTTTGGTAGACCAAAAGTTCATACGACCTATTATATGAAGGAAGCTAGTCGACTGTTCTACATATCATGAGTGATAAATATTCAGGACACAGTCATTATAAATGTTTTTTTTATTTGTGCCTACGTTTCAACCCAAACATGTGGGTCATCATCAGGGCTGAAAATTTTAAGATACTATGATGAGATGTGCCTTTATTTGTACAAATATGTTATCCTTTGGTAAAATATACACAAGAATAACATTATTCATTGTTCTGCTTTAATAAAAAGATACAATAAAATGAAACTATATATATATATATATAAAATAAATGGTACATACCTAGGCCATAAACAAGAACCAGGGACGTAGATTCTAAACCAGCCGGAGATGTGTGAATACCAGTTATATGAGGCAGGGTGTGATTGTATGTTAGCGTTGCTTCATGCGGGAGGGTCAAATCTGGTGTATAAGGCAGGACACCTTCTTCTCTAGAATCATTTGACCTGTGAGGATCGAGTAGGGCCCATGGGATTTCGATGACACTTCCAGTGCTAACCCCCACTGTTAAACACATATTAAATAACAAATAATAAAACATATATCAGATACAAGTTTCCACAGATATTATAGAAAGTAGGCATGAGAGAATTTCAATGAAATAATAATAATAGAATATTATGTTTTTCTCCTCTCAATAGTTATCTGAATACTATGTATTTTGATTGATCTCTTTATATTGATAAAAAAAACGAAGATGGCAACAAATTGTTTTTATCGTAATTATTCCACAATGGTTTATTATTTCCAGACAATTATACATCTAACGTAACATTAATTACATAGTTACAAAGAAAAATAAATAAAAGGTGATTCCAATTATTGGACTAAACTTTTTTTTTTAATCATTGGTAATATGCTAAAATAAATAGCATTACATCAGTAACACATTCAAAATTAAAAACCAAACAAAGGATATAACATTTGGAGTAGAACATATTAAAAAAAAACAGGAGACCATATCTTTGCTCCTAATTGTCTAATTTTAACGATTTTTTTTTTTTTTTTTTGGTTTTTAGGAAATTTCGTAAACTTTGAAAAAACCATATACATTATTGACAAAAAAAAATGTAAACTTTTTGAGTTATTTGGAATTTAATTTTACCATCCCTCGTAACTTTTTTCCCAGCTTCTTTTCGTTGATGTTATATAGATAAATTTAAAGGGTGACAAGAAAATGACTTTAGCGAAGTTTCATTGAAGTCTGTACATTTGTTTAGGAGCTATAGTCTATAGCAACACAGGTTTTTCAGCCAGCATTTTGAAAGTAAAAGGCAGATGGTAATGTCGATAAAAGAGGATCATCCTCGGGTTACCTCTGATTTTATATCCAAATTTGAAAAAAATCGGTCCAGTAGTTTCGGAGAAAATATGGGGACGGCGGACAGACAAAAAATTTTTTATTCGTTTTTCGAATTCTACGCATCCTGAAACGTGAAACCTCAAATTTTGAGAGGAGGTTAAGTTTTTGAATTTTTTGGTCGATCACAATGGTTGATTATTGAAAATAATAAACCAAAAAATTGAACATAAAATTAAGCTATAAAGCTGAAGAGTCTAGATGATCTTTCAGAATTTTAGTCATTCTAACAAAGATATTGTAGAATGGGCTGTTGGACTACACCCTCTTACAATCACCTAATAAAATCAGCTCGAATTTGTGATCTGAGTATTCTAATCAGCTCAGTCAAGGAGTACAAATAAAAAAATTGTTAATAGCATCACATAATATGCTGCAAAAATAAGGATGATCAATAAAAAGTGCCAAATTATAGTATATAAATATAGAGTTCTAACAGAATAAGTTCTATCATTATACATATGCAGAAATTCAAAATATAATAACCAAAGAAGAGATGTAAACACTTAACGGGCACCTAGAAGACTGATAAGAATTAAAACAGGGCAGGCAACTGAAGAATATTTAAAGACACTTGTGAATAAAAATTCTAAATTAATGTTAAAATAAGTCAAGTTTTAAAAAACAATAAACCTTTTTAAACACTAACCTAAAATGTGTTTGTTGGTAATCCCTTTCTCAGTTATGGTTTCCTTCATTGCCATGATGTTATGTGGAAAAATATAGGCTTGCCTCTCGATAATCGGTTCTACGAGGTAGGAAAGAGATGAGAATTCTATAACAAAATAATAATCGATGCATAAATAATTTAAATCGGAATAGATTTAATAATATCTTTTGATGTAAGAGAAAGTTACAGTCAAAATAAACCACAAACTTAATGTATGACATAATGTTTACCCACAATTGTTCTCATTTAGCAGGTCACCACAGCTACAAGAAAAATATAAATATGAGGTATACAAATATATATATATAAGAAATAAGGAGAAAAGAAAAAACATCTTGAACCAAACATTGTTCATAAAATTACATGAAGGAGCTAACAAAATGTCAGCGAATATTAAATAAAACAATTATTTACAAATAAACAATTATGTAGTTTGAAGAGAAGAATAGTTGTGGTGGTCAGTCAAAAAGGAAGGCAAAAATAAATGATAATATTTATTTTTTACATATGCCGACGTTTCGACCTGAAGTTCAGGCCTTCATCAGGGCTAAGGAAATAACCAGATAACAAGGTATGAGAAACATAAGTAGTGATGGTAAAAAGTACAATACAATTGATAGACAACAATATCTCAATTTCCTATCTAATTACTCCATTCTCAATGTTTTAATTTTACTATTTATTTTCATTTCTTATATAACTTCATATTTCTTTTTTATGTTTTACAAAAAAAAAAAAAAAAAAAGGGTCTGTGTTGGGGCCAATACTGTTCGTCGTTTTCACGGCACCAGTGGTGGCACTCAAGCATCCAAAGGCGGTGGTAGCAGCCTATGCGGACGACATTGGCATATATGCTTCCAGCATCAACGCGGAGACTGCACTCACTCTGGCACAGAATGCTTCAGCCACAATTGTTGAAGAGCTAGAAGAGATCGGTATCAGAGTGAATCCTGCGAAGACTGATGCTATTGTCATGTCGTTTCAGAAGGGAAAGAAGCATCTACCCACACAATTCACCGTTGGAGGAGTTTATCATAAAATTTCTACCTCGATTGTCTACCTCGGCGTCACGCTAGATAGACATTTGACCTTCTCCAATCACGTTAGGCAGAGGATCAAGCTGGCACGAAAGAAGTCGCACCGGCTCTACCACCTACTGACGTCGCCGCAGCTCTCGCTGAGACTCAAGCTCCAAATTTATAAAGCTGTTATAAGACCAACACTGCTCCACGGGGCCCCTCTCCTGCGATACCTATATAAATCCACGCTTACGAGTCTACAGGGCTTCCAGAACTCTATCCTTTGGCGAATTGTCCGTGGCACCACCCTACAAAGGGCTAAGAATCAAACAATACGCGAGGAGCTCCAGCTCCCCTCGGTACCTGAGTTCATAGGCCGGAGGCACATCAAATTTTTTGATGGGCTGAAGGCCTGTGCAAACCCACTGTTCAATGAGATCTCACCACCACCCAGACCTGGGAGGTGGCAAGGTAAACTCCCTTTGGTGGACATACTCGCCGAAGGATGTGGTCTGGTCTCTGCGGTCCAAACTCATTAATTTGTATATATTGTAAATAATAAAACATTAGCAGAACGGTCCTTCCCCGTTCAATGTCAAAGTCACAAGGCCTTCTGCCACATATGTAACCTTTAGCTATCCCCAATCCTTAAAATGCCCTCGGGCAGTGGAAGGAATTTATTACATGTTTATATTGTATTATTGTATACTATATATGTAATTGTTTCAATAAACTTTTTGGAGGGTAAGAAAAAAAAAAAAAAAAAAATTATGTTTTACATTTTATTCTAAGATTCCCATTGTAACACTTATGTCACCTTTTTTGATTATGCCTACTTCATCATTCTACACTTTGTAACAGTTATTATTATTTATCTCTTAGTTCTTAATCATTATTCTAACAATTTCATTTTACTTCATTTTTATTTTTTTACCATCACTACTTATGTTTCTCATACCTTGTTATCCGGTTATTTTCTTAGCCCTGATGAAGGCCTGAACTTCAGGTCGAAACGTCGGCATATGTAAAAAATAAATATTATCATTTATTTTTGCCTTCCTTTTTGACTGACCACCCCAACTATTCTTCTCTTCATTATCCACGACAGTCAACCAATTACCAATTATGAATTATGTAGTTTATTTGACCACCTTCTCTCCACTCTCATTATGTAACATATTTCAACTGAAACAAGGCTTACCGGTCGAATTCCTCATTGATTTTCCTTCATAAAGATCTAAAGAAATCATTTCAGTTCTGCGGGCCTTGTCATTAAAGTAAGAATATACCACCCAACTTTCAGAATTAATCATATGAACAGGAGGCATGGCACGCTTATGAGCCGCATTAAAAATTACACCTCCGCTAACTGTATCAATCAGATAAATAGTAATCATGTCTGAAAAATAAAGAAGAAAGATTAATTATTCACAGGCTAAATTTCCATGACCGGGTATATTAAGTACATATATTTTTTTTTCAAAATTAGTGGATTTAAATATAATTTAACTAACTTTAATTGTACATATTTGTGGGACAAAGGCATATTTTTTAATATTTTATTGAAAAAGGTTATTTTATTAATGAGAATTACTTATAATTTTAATATTTAAAAAATTTAAATTTAAAAATAAATACTGAATATTTAATAGTTGACCGTTGCATTATAAAGGAAGGAGATGGTTGGGGTTTGCGGTCATAAATAGGCTAAATAGTGGTAAAACTATTTTATTGAAAGCCAACGTTTCGACCCGACTTTGCAGGTCTTCATTAGGGAGGTGTGTTCATCTAGGAGTTTCACTTAGAACTAAGTGTTCTTAGTAAGTGATGAACACACCTCCTCCCTGATGAAGACCTGCAAAGTCGGGTCGAAACGTTGGCTTTCAATAAAATAGTTTTACCACTATTTAGCCTATTTATGACCGCAACCCCGGACTATCTCCTTCCTTAAAAAATAAATACCTATTTGGATTAAAAAAGTTTCTATTTTAAACAACTAATAATTTAAAAATATTCATAATGATTATGAGAACATATTGATATGCTATTTAGCTTAATTGTTAACAGTTAAACTTTTAAATTCTTCTAGAGTGGATATCAAAACATTGAGGAAAATATTTTGATGACTTTTTTTCTAGAAAATAGTGTTTAATTTTTGTTATGATGTTTATACATTTTGAATTGTTTTTAAGTAACTAGATCTAATTTTTTTGCTAATAGTTTTCAAAAACTGAGATTTCAAATTTTTAAAAAGTGTTTACTACAGTTTTTAATTATAGAGTTAATATTTTCTTAAAAAAATAATTAACATACATACAATATTTACTTAAACACACAAAAAAAATTTAAGAATATACTATCGTATTTCGGATAAACAATTTTTGTATACATTTCAGGATCTTATACTAAATTAAAATTCCATCTCTGATCATACTGAAAATTGTATGAAACTTGAAGAGGATATTAAAGTAATACCATTTAAGCCATATAAAATATCAATCAGTTTGTTAAATATCAAGTAATCATATAATCAGCTTAAAAATTAATAACATATTGTTGCACATTATATAGTCAGCAATTAACAATAACTCACTCTTATGGACAGGATCTATGGTGTGTGTTGCAACAGCGACCAGATGTGGGTTTATATACTTGTACAAGACACTCCTGTCAGCGAGTACTCGTCCCTGCGAATGTACTCTCTCTGCTTTGTTTTTTTGAGCAATACTAGTTATAGGAGCGTTGAGTTGGATATTCCATACTCGAACAGCACGCAATTTCTACCAGAACAAGAAATATTATAATTAATTATAATAAACAGCAATATCTGCTACTGATATTTAGTTTTTAAGGAGTTAAGAAATACATCAAAGTTATAATTGCCAAGAATGACCATGGAGATTAACTAATTACATACTAATCATATAAAATTCAAAAAGCTGAGAAGAGATCGAAAGAATGAAATTAGAAAAAATAATGAAGAGAAGGATGGTTGGGGTGATCAGTCAGAAATAAAATGGCAAAAAATAAATAATAATATTTATTTTAACATTTGCCAGGATATTTTTGGAAAATGTTAATAACATAACTGCCAAATAACATAATTGCCAAATAATATTTTGGCAAATGTTAAAATAAATATTATTATTTATTTTTTGCCATTTTATTTCTGATTGATCACCCCAACCATCCTTCTCTTCACAACAGTCAAACATCAACCCACAATTAGAAAAAATAATACTAAATTAAAATTAATTTGTTTTTTAGTTTAAAAGATGAAACAGCTAGCATTTATTCCTTATACCTAAATAATATAACTACGAATCTAGAATAACAGCTCGCTAAAGAATCAGCTACTAATATAAACAATTATGTGCTATTTTCAATTTGAAATCAAAGATTAAGCTTCAAATTACAAAAGAGATATTTTGCTTCTTCTAGGTTTTTTACTCAAGCTATACTTCAAAAATGACTCATTTGATTTGGCTCAAAGTTGAGAAATAGTGTGTAAATGTTCCAGTAGAGATTTTATCCAATTTAATTTAATCACTCAAATAAATATAATTGTTAAACATGTAATGGCTATATAGCAGGCAGTGAACATATGGAATGGGTGGTAATAAAAGTTTCTAAACTCAATGCAATATAATGGTGTTCTCCATCGGTATATTCAGTTCACTTTTCAAATAAAATTATAATCTTAGTGAAGTGGGCTCATGATGACTGAGTGTTAAGGCATCACTTTTATTTTTAATCCCGTTATCCCCTACCTCACCATTTCTAGCATATATAAGGATGGAGGGAATTGTTCCTGAGGTACAACCAAACATTTTCTAATCAAAGTGAGAAGGTCCATCACAAAATAAATTTCAACTCACCAAGGCTTAATCCGAACTGGCAGTGCTGCACTTGATAATGTTAAAGCGGGCCTCTATTAAGGCATCACTTTAGCAATCTTGAGTCTAGAAGCACAAATTATAATCCGGCCTTGGGTTTATAGAAATTTATTTCGGAATTAATTTCAACCTTCTCACTGTAGTTAGAATAGCATGGCAGGGATACCCAGAAGGGGGTTTCATGTCGCAGAGGTTGCACCATCAAAATTTTTGAGGGGAACACATTTTTACTGGAATATGATTTTTTATGGAAGAACATTTTGACAGGATTATGATTTTTCGGAGTGGAAAACTTTCAATCCTGAGAACAAGGGAAAATACGTGGAACAGACCACTGCAAGTACATTTGTACATGATCTACGATTTTTCTGATCCTACTTTTGCTTGTACTGTTTTTATTAAGAGGGTGAGGGGGGAGGGGAGGCAAAAAAATGTCTTGGGAGAGAAGGGAAGTTCATGCACCATCGATCCTGGGAGGGGAAGAAGGGATGAGCACCCCTGTAGAGTGGTTACCTTTTCCTTAGGCGGGATGGCCGAATGGGCTAACGCACGTGCATAGCACCATGAGTTGCCAGACAACCAGATTACCGAAGTTATGAGATTAAACAAAACAGTACGAGTTCGCTTACCAGAGCCGGAGGAGATTTTAAATTTTCCGCCCTCACCCTCCGACCCGGGAAAATCCCATATAGCCTAAAAAAGGTGAGGTAGGGAAGAACAAGAAAAAAAAAAAAAGTTACCTTTTTCTTCAATACAATGATTGCATTCATCCTATATAAAACTCTCTTATAGCTAGAAATGGGTAAATATGTATCCCAGATAAGTATACTTTTAATGGTAGTGATCCTAGAGATATTAAAACGTTAGCTGTGATTACGCTCCCCGGCGTCTGATAGCTTTGTATCAAATGTAATGATTATTTACGTTTGTATTTATCTTTACATCTATCGAACTCACATTCAGATATTTTTAAACATGACCATTTTAGAAACTTTGTAAGATAGAAAAAATTCGAAACAATCCCGGCTGAAATCGAGACAAATATCGGAACCCGGGAACCTTAGCCGCAGCTAACTTATTAAAGAGGGGAATACATTTTCCGAAACATGTCTAAATAAACAATTAAAACAGTAAATTAGTTTTTCTTGTTTATTCAACAGTAAATATGAGAAAGCTGAGCTAAAGGCAAATGTTCGAGGCGATCTATCAAGTTCCTAATATAATAATAATACTTTATTTATTCTGGGACGAGTCCCTTAAAATAATACATAAGGACAGTAATGTGGGCTAAGGAGCCTCAGAGATACATAAGAAGAAATGTTGAGTAATAAAATAGTCGTATTAAAAAATTATAAGTTACTTTCTAACTTAAATAAGTTAATAATAAAAAATTGAAAATAAAGTAAAAATAATGAAGAACAATATAATAATTTATATACATATTTACAGTGGTATCAATTTACAATTTTATGGGGACTGGATGGTAATATATATATATATATATATATATATATATACATATATATAAAAGTGTATTTTCTCACCTCATTAGATTTAACTAGATTGAATCCATTCAGGTTTCCAGTTTCAACATCAGATGCGTATACAAAAAGATCCTGGTGGAAATCCAAGGCATCCTGCATAGTTTCAGGAGGGAACACTTCTACCCCATCAGTATCAGCAATTAATAATAAGCTCTTAATAAATTCTTCATTTTCTTTTGGAAGCAAGAGTGTCTGCTTTACATGAAAATCATAAAAATTGAGCCCGCCAACTGAAAAGAATAAATAAAATATTTTTATAACACAGAAAACACTACATGCATACAACACAATTTTTTACTTTTTATTTTGCTACTATAATGTCAGTGTGCATGTGAGCATAAAAAAAAAAAAAAAAAAATTACTATTCAATTGTGCACATAAACTTAAATATTGAGGATTGGTCGAGTTGTTAAACATACAAACCACCAGTGGTTTTTAGTTAGTTTTTCTACATTAGTATCCACAATTTATCAGGAATACAACAATACAAATAGAATTCAAAATAGATAGTATGATTAAAAGTAAACAGTAATGTGTATCTTGAATAGAAATCAGAATGATAATATGGTTGAAAAAGCAACATGGATAGGAAACATTTAAATAAAATGGAGAATACATAACACATAGAGGTGAATTATTGACTTATTACTTACATACTTAATACATATACTTACATAGAGGCTGTCCAGTGATTGGATTGAATGCGTACAGTGCAGCTTTTTCTGTTCCCTTTAATAACAAAATATTAGCTATTAGAATAAAATCTTTTCGGTCAAAAGCACATTATTTTCCTAAATATAGTCAAATTTAAAGAGAATAAGAATCATATCATATTGATTCATATTATGCTTACCTGATAATAGCTTAACTTTTGGAACTTTTGAGCATAGAGCAAATATTATTATAGAAACAAAGGTAAAAGATGAATAAAATTCTATATTAATAAAAAAAATCTGAGGAATCCAAAGCTGAAATTATTATGAATTGACTATAATAAATTATAATAGGTTTATATTTTTCAAAAATAAATATGAAAATTTAAACAGTAAAAGAATCAAACAGTCCATAAAAAATCTTAAAAAAGTATTATAATAATAGGGTGTATAGAAAAAAATGACTGTTTTTCAACCAAATATTTGTATTATTATTTCTTTGATATAAAATACAATTGATACTCAAGGTATAGTCCATTGTTATCTACCGTCATTAGCCATCTGCTAGCCAATTGCTCAATCCCACGTTGATTCCATTCCTTGGGTTGGCTGTCAAAGAACTCTTGGAACGCAGATTCAACTTCCACAAAATTATCAAATTGTTTAGATTTGAGAATATTAGAATTAATATTTCAAAGAAAATGGTCCATGGATCTAAATAAGTAGTAATCCGATGGTGTGAGGTATAGACTATATGATGGATGAGGCAGGAGTCTCATATCAGAACGGTTCTTCAATACATTTTTACAAATTTCTAACCTCTTAGCTGATTGCTGAAGAGTAAATTCGTGAGAGACCAGTCTACTGCTCTTTTTCACCTTCCCAATGGACAGTAGATGGCGACAAATAGAATCTTTCAACACAACACACTTCCTGGCAAATTCGCAAGTATTATTGGACAGATTTGACTCAATAGCTTCCTGCAGAACCTCATCAATATCCATTAATGGTCGCCCGGAGTACTTTTTCCTTTCCAACATCGTACCTCCACTGCGATAGTCAAGGACACCTTCCATTTCACATAATTTAATAATTTCACAAGTTGCTTCAGCGGCTATGAATTTTTTTTCCCTGTAATTCCTCAAAATTAAGAGAATTTCATAGGACACTGTCACGTTTCTTCATTGAAACAAATAACTAAACTGAGGCTTTTTTTAAAGAAGTGGAATGAGATTATAAAGAAGCTTAGAGAATACTCTAAAGGGATTATTAAGTATTGGTAGGTATTAAATAGCATTAAAATATTTACAGTCCTTTGAAATCTTGAATTTGATAAAACGGTAATTTTTTTTTTTATATATACCCTATTATATTTACTTATACCAAATTTACTACATAATATATGATAAAGGACTAATCGATATTACCTTCTGTTTAAAGAGAAGAGTGCATATTGCTGGATAGGGAAGATGCCTGCTTGTTCTTTGAAGGAAAAGAGGTACATAAGGCGAATCCAATGCAGAAAAGAGATTTACATCCTTCAGGTGATGTTGCCAAATGATGTCTCCATTATCATTTTCCATTCCATAAATCTGAGGAAACAATTCATCAACTACAGATGTAATTATGTAAACTGAACCATTAAAGATTAAGATTCAAACAATGAACATGACATAGAAACTAAGTTTTTATTTATTTTTTTAAATTAAAAAACAAAAACTATAATTGCCACATACTTCATAACTAACCCATTAATATTTCAAAAAATGCATAGAAGGCTTCAACCTTATTGTTATATCATATTTTTATGAAATATATTATTTGCTTATTCATTTTCTATTTTAATTTTAAAATGGGCTAACTTAAAATTATAATAGAAAATGAATGTGCAAATAATATAAGATTTAAACTTTAAAAACTTTAAGTATCATCAGAATTTTTCATTGACGATAGTTTTTCAGTTTTTTTGGAACGAGAACTTTTTCCCTAGCAACTTTTCAAATAAACTATTTACAGAACTTTTATTTTTAAAATACTTTTATTAAAATGTTCTGTCGATTTTGCTAAAAAGTTGATCTCAAAAATGACTTTTATCCATAACCACTTAAACAAACAAAAAAATTAGAATCATGTATAATTGATTTAGGACAAATTATAACTCTAATAATCTAAGCGGAATTACTGTTTTGTTTTTTTATTGAACCCAACTTTGTCATAAAAAAGTTCCTTTGAACCTTTATTTCTAAAACTCTTTTTGTAAAAAGTTTCACAAAGACTGATGAAATGGAACTTTTTCAAAAAGTTACATAAAAGTTTCAACCCCAGAAATAAAATACTGTAAATAGTTCTTGTAGAAAATTATAAGATTCTTTAAAGTTAATTTCTCTTGTTTTTTAAATATATCTTCACTGATCTGGCAATTAGAGTAATTTGAAACTACTAAACCCAATGTAGAACCAACTGTGAGGTAAAATTACAAGTTATTACATAATGCCGTAACTATATTAGAAAAAAATACATATACATATATATGGATTACTTACAAGGTGAGTTACATAAATAACCTACCTTAGCAACATTTGTAACGATAATAATGAGCTTATGAAGACCAAACTGATCCTTGACAAGGTCCTCCCTCGATTCACTTCTGTGTTCTTTCAATCCAAGAATACTGATGACTGCGTTAACAACCTGCAAGCACTGGCTGTGAATCCTCCTATACAACATTCCCACGATACCACCTATAGTTGAATCATAAAAACAGTAATAAATGAACAATCTTCTTCCTAACTTATTTAAATAATTAAATTAATAATGATAATGTTCAATCAAATATTTTTAACACAACTCTATATTAAATGAAAATATTTACGGATAACATAAAATCCACATATTTTTAAGGAAAGTGAAATGTAAAACAGAAAGAAATTAGTTTAAATCACATCAAGTTTCAACAAATCAATTTTCTTTCTAGAAATATAGAGTATTAGAAACTTTAGAAATCCACAAACAACTTTTAATATAAAATGATAGAACATACAACATCTGTTACATGCTATTATGGTCGATATATTTATTAATCAATGTTCATTACTTATTCTTACATCCTATATACATATAATATTTAAAATTAATAAATTTAATTTTACGATTTTATAAATTTATGGTCCATTTTGGTTAATAGTATAATATACAAAATGATAAAAAGGCACTATTTCTCAACAGCACTCCAATATTGCGCTGTCAAAGTCATATTGATCACACTAGAGTTGTAATTCCAAAAGTAGAAAGCAACCGACGTCATTGGTAAGTCCTGATTTAAACCAAAAATCACCTATTGCAGATTTAATTATCTCTTGCGAGCAATTCAAAAGTAAGTGAAAGCCAATAATCCCGATTTAATAATAATAACAATAACACTGGACTCGAGCAAGGTGATTTTCTAGCACTGCTGCTTTTCAACATCACAGTGCAAAATATAGTAGCAAGAGCCGGTCTGGATTAGAATGACAATATATTCTACTAAGAGACCTAATTAGTAGCAATTAGCATATGCTGATGGTGTCGTGATAGATGGAAGGTCTCTACTTAATGTCAAAGAGGCATTTGAGAAGCTGGAAAGGGAGGTCAGAAGATTTGGTTTAGAGATCAATGAAGAAAAGACGAATGAATTGTTACAATGAGAATGAAGAAAAATGGTTTTGAGAAGAAAGGAACCTATTTATCTCCAAATGTTTTATATAATCAGAAACTACACATTCCAATGTGTAGATAGTTTGAAGTACCTTGGGACCCAGTTTAATGTAGCATTAGAGGAGGAGGTGGAGGAGATCCAGGCATGAATTCTCCCTTCTAATAAATCTTTTTCTTCGATAGCTCATCTCATGAGAAGTAGACTGGTAAGCTGCTCAATCAAGTTAAGGCTATACAAGACACTAATTAGACCAGTCGCAACATAGGCATGTGAGACGTGTCCCCTTAAAAAATCAGTAGCTCTGAAAGTCGATATCTTTAAACATTTTGAGAGAAAATTGGATATATCAGCTTAGAAAGAATAGAGAACTATACTCCTCGTATGTTGATATGAAGTTATCAGATTTTGTCAGGATACAGTGTCTGAAATGGTTGTGTCACCTCCATGGATGAGAGGAGAACGGTCAAAAGATTATACCAGGGTTATCCGGAAGGAATGTGGGCTCGAGCGAGACGTAGAAGGAAGCACAATGTCTCAGAAGACATCCGAAAGTTTAAAATGTCTTTAAGACTAGCTACGGACCGACAGAACTGGACTAGAGCAATTGAGAAGGTCTAGAAGAATAACAACAATTAATAATTATTATAACCACTATTAATAATTCAAATGAACTAATCATCCCAACAAAATGTGACAAGTTAGAATACACCTGTGAACATGGTTGTCTATTCTGTAAATTTTGGAATTCCATCTATAATGTGATCGATGTGATCTTGTCACGGACAGCTTTGTGTTTTATTAACAACTTTGAAGTTTCAACAATGAAAAAAATGTCCATGTGTTTCCTTTACGTTAACTAATATAAACACAAATGATCAAATGCAATTCAAATGTTCAATATATTATAATTGTGCAAATATATATATATATATATATATATGTATATATGTATATATATGTATGTATATGTATATATAGGAATATATGTATATATATATATATATATATATATATATATATATATATATATATATATATATACATACATATATTCCCTTTACAAACTTGGACTAATTAAAATAAACAACAACATAAAAACAGAACAATTAATTCAGAAATGGGGTGAACAAGGACAAAACAAAAACTGATTAGCGAACAGTGAAATTATTAATGATGCCAGCTAAAACCAGAAGATAATTTCATTTTAAACAAAATAAAAAGACAAATACATTAGAAAAAATAAATAAATGTCAAAGAATCCATGCAACATGCAAAATTATGACTTATTAAAATACAGTGATAGTTATAAAGTTGAACCATATTTTATAAGTCCATATTTTTATTTCAAACAATTTAAAGTAGATGATTTAAATAAATTAATTGAGAAAAACTATTTCATAATATTAAATGAGAAGCCATCGCAGACGAACATATTAAGGTGTCGTCTTAATATTCGAGTCAGAAGTAGTATAGATTCAAATTAGGTCTGGATGGATTTAAATTAATTTTGTGGTGGCATAAAATAAATCTTGAGCTCATTCTGGTTAGAACAGGTTGGCTACCTGTAAGACTTAGATCTTTGTTACAGCTCTAATTAAAGTAAATAAAGATATTAAACCCCCAAAAAAGAAACATGAGTAAATTATAGTAAATGGGGTGAGATTATTTTTTAAAATAAATAAAAATCCAAGAGTAATTTAATTATAAAACTAAAGGATTTGTATGTACTTTTCTCCAAATTAAAATTTTTTAAAAATCTTTTTTGAGCCAATTTTGTTGGAAATTTCAATTGAAGAAGCTTTTTCAACAGTTCCTTCATTATCAACCCTCATTTCTTCATAAAATGGTCGAAACCCATAGTAAATGATTCATGATAGGTCTGGTGCAAACACTCACACATTTCAGTGAGTGAAATTTATATATATATACATAAAAAAAACTAAACAATAGCAACCACATACAAAAACATGTCAAAATCAAAAGATAAAAATATAGAAATAGCTCTTTCACAAAACAATAAAAAAATATATAAGAAAAATTTGCATTTTAAAATAAGCTAACAAATGGAAATGTAATATATGTTTTATCTTATCCTTACACGTTAGATATAAGGTATCCAAAAACAGTGAGAACAATTTATTCTTCAAATTACTAAGAAAAGTGTGGGACCATGATGAGGTAGGATTTTATCACACAGTCTGGTTATTTGAATTTAAATAGCGATGGAACAACTGGTCAACAGCATGTTTTCCGTGTCCATACGAATTACTAAAATAATGATTATCAGTACATCTAAACATTTATCTTGTGCTCATTTTCAATCACAAAGTGCCATTCCATGCATTCATTTGAAAACGGATGAAAATGTTTGAAAAATCACTGACTGACTCAACAAAATAATTGAACGAGTCTAACAATCCTGGAGTCCTTTAAATTTCTTTTATATGATACAATTTGTTTTATAGATTCAAAACTAGAATTTATTTCCAGCATGATTGTACCACATATCATAAACCAACATGTTCACAAAACTTTTTTATTAAAAATATCACAGTTTTTACATATTATCCAAGGTGTCCAAGGGATCTCGAAAATATTCTTTGGTTAAAATTTCAATTAATTCTTAGTTCGACACAGATTATAATACATAATGATTTTCGGAAACCTAAACGATATGTGATAAATATCCGTTTGCAACCGTGGCACATAAGAGGCTTTCTGTAAGAATAACAATTCATCTTCAAAATCGTACATTATTAAAACGTAGAACTGGGTATGTTCCAGAGGAACTTTACCATAACTATATGTCTTATCGAAATCTTTTAAGTACAATTAAAAAAAAAAAATCCATCACTCCTGAGAGCCCGAAAAGAGATCTATATATCCATATTGTATATTTAGTAGATTTTCCAACAGAAATATCAATATCTGAAATCAATATCATGTTATTGGGTATTTTTGTTTAAAATAAGAATTTCATGATTGTTGACATAGACTGAATATTTATAATAACTGAATTTCAACCATGCCCAGATTTTATGAATAAATAACTTTGTTTAGAGGTTCTAGTTCACTTATTTATATAACATTACAATAGCACTCACCTTTTTTGGCAACTCTGTATATTTAAAATATTTCACTTATAGATATATTCAAATATTTCTCAAATATACAAAAAAAAAAAACACCAATAACTATCAAGCACACAATACAACAAAACAATAAAAACTTCCATGCTACTTTATGGCTACTCACTTGTTAATCCTAAGTCCACTGTTGAATAAAAATTATTTCATGTATATTAATATCCAGCATAACAGATATAATATATAATTAAATAAAAAAGATATACTATATTATTTAAAAATAGACAAAGAAGAAACCTTAAGACAGAGAATACAAAACAATCACATGAACATCACAACAGCTTTGAGGAGGTTAAGGTTCATTTCATTATAACTTGTAATGTTATTACTAAAAATAAATGAGTTCCATAAAAATCTTAGAAGGCCACAGGTGAAAGCACGAGTGGTAGTGCCCGATTTTTGATACCTCCACATTCTTGAAAGTAAGTGTGGTTCAAATTGTGCTTCAACCACCTGGGTTATCCAATACCCTTATCAATGTCATACAATCCACCCGTTATAGAATTGAATGAAAACCCAGGATGATTTGTAAATGAACCCTGCTCAACGATCTCTATGACCATCTTCAGTGCCGGCCTTAGGGTGGGACAAACGGGGCAATCATGGGTGGCACCGGCATATCTTCAGGAGTGCTTGTCACTTGATTGAAGTTTTTAAAAAATACAGAATATATAAAAATAATTATTATTTAGGCTATAAATAATAATAATTAATAAATAATTATTGATTTTAGACTATCAATAAAGCAAATGTATTAGAGAAATGTTGAATGAAATAAAAATTCATATATCACATAATATGAAATAGCTTAAGAAATAAATTAAATTTTTTAGGAGACGGAGAGGGGATGACGTCATGGGGATGGTGCCGAATGTCTAAGGCCAGCACTGAGATTTTGCTCCGAAACAATTGTAACACATAAAAAAAACAAAAATATTGTAAATTGTAAAAACTTGCCCCTAGTTTATAACCAGAAAATTTTTCTTCATTTATTTCATAATGAAGATAAAATAAATAACATGAATAAAGAGAAATTATTTATATTACGATAAGTTAGACACAATTTAACCTTAATATGGGTTTTTCAAAAAAATATCCATCCTGACATTCAATTATCAATTCTTCCTGATAATATGAACTTATGACTGAAATTATTAAGTTAGATCAATCCTTACTGAATATACCCTTGGCTTATTGCTAAGTGCATTATTGATATAGGTTGTTTTAAATATATTTTTGTGAATTTCGATCTAATTTTCTAATATAAAAAAAACACCATAAATGCATGAAAATGAAACACAACCTTTTATTTATAATAAATAATTACACTAAGAGCAAAATTTTCTGATTTCACAAAAGGGAAAATTCATGAAAGTTTTTAATTATTTGAGGTTATGAAATATCACTTAATGATTTTTGCAATAAACCAACGATCTAATTATAACAAAATTTGAAATATAAAAACTAAATTAATTACAAATATTTTAATTAATTAAATATAATTATAAAAATGGTATGGATTTTTTAAATGAGATTTCAATCATTTACAAATTTAAAATATAAACCTTTGCTAATTATAATAACAATAATAAATAAATATTAATAAAAGGCTTAGCGAACCTGAAGGTTCAATGCTGACAACACCAATCGCTTATTACACACCTCCCTCCACCGTTTGCCATCCAAACCCAGTCCCTTTAGATCGGCTTTAACGCAATCTTCCTACCTTCGCTTCGGTCTACCCCTCGAACGTTTACTATTTGGTACAGCAAATATTTACCTTTTAAGAATTCTTTCATTACCAAGCCCAACAATTTTACAAGCTCTTTTGATTTGATTTTACAAGCTGTGATGTAATCACCTCAATTATATTAACTGGATACAGTTCACACAATTTAGCGTAGTGTAACCATCTGAACTCTCTGGATAACTCATTATTCTTCAGTCCGAATATTCTACGCAATACTTTGTTTTCAAAAACCTTAAGATGTTGCTCATCCCTTAATGTAAGCGGACACGTTTCGCATCCATAAAGAACTATAGGTAAGATGATGGTTTCATATAATCTAGTTTTTGAGTTCCGGGACAAGACGCAAGCTAAGTAGTTTAGTCGCAGAAAAATAATAAGCATTTCCCGCCTTCAGCCTAAACTTAAAATTTCCTCTTCAACTCCGTTGCTAATTATAATACAATAATAAAATATTTACATTGAGAAATGTAAATATTTTATAATCATTAACAGTTGTTCAGAATAATACTGATAAGTATTGATTTCCCAATATAAATCTTTAATAGTAATTTGATTATGACAAGTAAACATTCAAAATTAAAATGTTAAAATGACCAATAAAAGCTAGAGGAAAATTAAAATGATCAATTAAAACTATTTTCACTTTTTTGAAGTTGTTTAACAAATTAAATTGATGAATTGATGAAAGTCACTAATTAATTCAACTTAATACATGTTATTTAATAATAACATGTTATTTAAATAAATAAATAACATGTTATTTAATATTTTTTTAAAAAGTTAATTTCTAACCTTCTTTGTTCGCAAACTCCTTTTCAATTGCAGCTTCTTCATCAGAAACAGGAAGATCAATCATTTCGACAGCTACAATATTTGCAAGCGCTTCTTCTCTCACCCATGATACTTTTCCTATTCAGATAAAAAATTAACTAACGTAGAATTAATGGTTACTTTAAATAATTTTTATTACGGAATAACATAACTTGAATTATGGAAATAACAAAAATACCTTCATTTAAAAGAATAAGGGAGTCATCTTCACCGACCAAAGTAAGGTAGCAGGATAAATCGGGGTCATCAGTGACGCATTCAAATGAAGACACCAATGCTTTGGGCAATCGAGCTCCATCTGTTTTTTTCTTTTCTTGCAGAGAATGTTTAGAACTTAAAATCATTCCAGATAATTCATAATCCTAAAACAAAGGGCCTCTTCACACTATATCTAAATAATATTATAACATTTAAAAATGATAAGCCAAGAAATCATCCATCCAATCAATTATAATCAGAGCTTGGTGTGAACTGTTAAGAAACTTTTTTAAAGAATTTAGTTTTAATAGTTTTGAAGGATTTTGAAAAATAAAATTCATTATTTGTTTTCAAAAAAACAAAAATACCTTAAAGGAGAAAAAAACAATAAATGGACTTAGATCATTAATATAATTTGTCTTGAATAAATTCAATGATGCTTATATTTCTTTTCAATGAGAAACTATGAATGTCTTACATAATTGACAGTTTATAGATATACTTTTTGGTAAAAAGAATTGCTTTTACATAACATTTAAATATGTTTTCAATGAAACTCTATAAAAACTTTTAATGAAAAGTTTCATTGGAAATAGTTCTAGTTCCATAAGAACACAAAATTTGAATCATATAAGAACTGATTAAATATAAAAGTTAACTTTTTATTTCAAGCCCTGATTATAATAATATTATATTATTAATCTATAATTAACCATTGAATCATAATAATGACCTTACCCCATCACTAAAAGAAGCCTGCAATAAAATAGGTCCGCTTGAAGACTTTCTCACAGCGGCTACTGCGTTCACAGGTACATCCAAGAATAACAAAGAACCTTCAGATACAACTAGAACCATGCGCTTGCCTGTAACAGTGGTGACCAAAGCTGAGGGATATGGCGAAGATACCGGAGTCAAAGACGCTGGCTTTTCGGAAAGAGGAATTTTCCCAGAACTTAATGCATTTGATGATAAACCACGGGCAGTAACAGTTCCACTGTCAGAAACGCAAATAATAGTGCCTTCATCTAATATACACCTGTAATAATGAAGTGGAAATTCTTTTTATAACGCTAATGAAACTTTTATTATTTTTATTTATATCTTAATAATTACTAACTAGTACATCAATATTTACTAGATAATTTATTAAGAAATGTTCATTTAATTCTTAATGATCTATTCCTAAAGCTATACATGAAATTTATATCTATCAAATTTCATGGATTGCCTGTTTTCGGAGTGAGATATTTAATCTCATGAATGTATATAACAACAATATTTTAACTGATTAAGATGCCCATTAGTGTATTGTAAGATGCATCACCATTGTGGAAGTTGGACTTTCTTACTAGTTGAAACTGGTATATTTTGCTGCTAACTCTTATCTACACCAACAGGAACACAAGCTATTATCTAAAACCTATTGCCTATTAGATATCAGACATTTACTTCACTGTTATCCAATAAAATGTCCAATAAAAAATAGGTACTGATTAAAATCTATCAACTACTTCCACTTTTCTAATTCAATATAAGTCTAAAGATTCCTGGTCCCTAGTGATAACATATAAGATAGAAAAGCTAAATAGTGATGGTATTAACACCGGTATGGAAAACAAGTGTTTTTTTCCCAACCCTTGATGGCTACCTAAATTACTACAGTTTCAGAAATTTCTCTCAAAAAGCTGGATGTAATACAAAATCGGGTTCAAAGACATATAATCAGAGGTGCTAAGTCAAACCTTTAGCCTCCTTAGAGTAAAAACTGGAAATCAGCCACTGAAAGCTCAACAAGAAGTACTGATCATGAACATATAACAAATATTTTGAGCAGAGAGAATTGAACAGCTTCATAAGAATAAGAGTAAAGTATAAAAGCTAAGGAACTGAATTTTGATTATTTGGTTTAATAATAAAATGACTAATGATACCTGAATAATCGATTTTGATATAATTAAGCTAAAATTAGTTCTATTCGATCAAATCCAGGAGAAACCATGTAGATTGTCTGTCTCAACATCTGACATATGGCGATGATGTATCCAACACCTCTAGAACGCAAGCAGCATTATCAGGAACTTTCCAGGAATTCGAAGAAGCAGTGGCTACACAGGGCCTTAGAGATAATGGAAATAAAACGGCTTACATTAAAAGTTCAAAATTGGAAAAGGAAGTGAAAACAGAAATAGCTTTAAGGGATCACAAATTTAGATCTGTTGATCAGTTCAAGTACCTTAGAAGCCTAGTCACATGCAAAAACAAACTAGAGAGTGAAATAAAGGCCATTATAGATGCTGATGATAAAGGAAATAGATGCTATTTCTCACTGCAAAGAGACTTGAAATTTAGATCACTCTCTAAAAGAATCAAAATCCCCACCTACAAAACCATAGTAAGGCCAGTGGTTATGTATGAGTGTGAGACTTCGACCTTAACCAAAAGCCCAGAACACATCCTTAACTCCTGAGAGAGAAAAGTATTGAGAAGAATATGGGTCAGATTTTCTGAGAATGGAATTTGGAGAAGAAAAAATGAGGAGCTGAAGCAACTTAATGAAGAAACTGATATTGTGGCATTGATAAAAAGAGCCACGATAAGATGGTTAGTTCATGTGGAAAGAATGCCTAAGCGAAGAATGACAAAAAGGATTCTGTATGAGAAGACGGATGGCAAAAGAAGTAGAGGATTCCCTAGGATCAGATGGCTGGAGGATGTGGATCTGAGGCGGCTGGACGTCCGAGGATGGAGGGAAGTAGCACAAGACTGTGGAGATTGGTTGGCTGTAGTGGATGAGACACAGGTTCTTGCAGGACCATAGCGCCATTATAATAATAATAATAATAATCAAGGTAAATAAAGCTTCTTCGTAAAATGATTAAACCTTCTTAACAAATAAACCTAATCAAATTTGTCATTTAATTTAGGGTAATATAAATTTTTAATGGTGTATTTTTATTACTATATTACAAATATTGAATGTTATAAAACCTATTAATAAAAACTAAGGATGCAATATGTGGAAATACCATATTTATCTACTTACTTGGATGAGATATCAAGCCATGGGGCACTGATAGTACTAGTAAATCCAGCAGGATTTCCAGTTTTAATGTTATATGATGTTACTTCCAGCAAATTTTGAAGGAATCTCACTTGGTATAAATTATTTTCATGAATGGTCCACTTGAAACCACTGGAAAGTAAAATTACTTTTAAAATTGACAGAACTATAAATGAATAAAAAAGGAATAAGACCTTCGGTACTACTGAACAAGTTTTGTAACACTTTGATGAGTGGGTCAAGGTCATATGATCACTCTATAAATGAGATTCCGAGAATCACTAACAACTGACAACAGTTCACAGTAAAACCTCCCTTTATTTATATCACAATTTATAACTTCTTCAAACTTCCAGCTGGTCTTTAGCAGTTAAAATCCGGGCCTGAATTACATCACTGCTTTCAACTTTTGCTTCATATGCACACTGAAAACAAATCTCCCAAGGGTGAATGTCAGGGCATTACTGGATACTTCGGTTACCTTGGTCTACTTTCGAACACACACGAGCATTCTCGTTTATAGAGTTATCATGAGCCATTCATCAAAGTGGAGTAACAATTATAAAGTAGTAACAGACTTTTTTTTTAGAAAGGGATTAGGGGTCTGGAGAAAAAAGGTTATCCAACATCTTTTCTGACAAGATAAACCTTACAAATTTTAAATTTACCTATGCTCAGAAACAGGAATGGTCCATTCATGGGTTAGCATTCCAGAATTTAAATTCCACCCACGTAACAGGTACGGACCATTACCTGAAAGTGTCGTCACCTCATTTCCAACAGATAAGGCATGAATAACACCATATTCACCAAGTTCTAAAACTCTTCTCCATTTTATTGATCCTTAAAAGATACTTAATGTTAGTACACTTAAAAAACGGTAACATCATGCATAACCTACAGACAATATCTGAAAGAAAAGAAAAAACTATTAATAATGCCATACCATCATGAAGACTAAGAGCTGCAACAACATTATTTTCAGTCACAACATAAAGGTTTGACGAATCCCTGCCATTTAAACTCGTGTGAGAGTATTTAACTCTTCCAACATAAGACTTTTTCCTAAAATAAAATTTTTTTTTCTTAAATAATAAGCCAGAAATATAAAGAATAATTGTATTAATTTAAAAACTGACAAAAGAGCTTAAATTGTGAGTTGTTATCATTGATAATAATTCTAATGGAAGTATTGCCAAAATATCTTGATAGAATATATCAATTAAAAACCATTTTCAAAACATGATTGAAATAAATAAAATCCATCCTAGAATAGACTTAAATGGATTAATTGATAATATCCTGTTAACTTTTTTTGATGGACCAATGTTAATCTTATCATAAGATGTTTAAAATGATTAATTAGTCGAAATTAAATCACTTTATTATGATATCAGATTGTACCTTCTGACAGAAGTACCATAATATAAATGTAAATAATTAAAACCAACATTAAAAACTAATATAAAACTTCTTTGCCTACCAGTCAAATTTACCAACTTGATCTTCATATAAAGCCTGAGATCCGTATATTAAAATGGAGAAAAATATTAATCTTACACAAAAATTCATAATTATGATTTTCACATTCATTTGAACAACCTCACAGAGCAGTGAGGAAGCGTTCGAGGACGTTTCACTCACTTCATCAATTCAATGTAGTTAATATCAAATATGTAGTTAAAAAAATGGAAGATAAAATAAAACAACATACTGTTCATAAGTTTTTAAGTTGAAACGGTAATTTACGAACTGTAGAATAAGGTAATATACAATGAACTCAAAAACGAATCCATTACTTATAATGATAGCCTATTAAAATTCATTATCTTTCTCATTAATTAACCACCTTTCTATGTTATTTAACAAGAAGCGCGGACAGTTACCAATATAATCAATATTTGACCCAAAAATTAATGTCTTTAAAAATCGTGTCGAGGATTAAACTAGTCAAAAACATTTCAAAACCTAGAGAAGCAACCAACTTTACAGTTTATCTCAAATAAAGCTAAACCATTATTTAAACGTTGATCCCCTGACACCGTCTATCCCAGGGTAATGATAAAAATAAAACTTTTGCATAATAATAGGTGGTGATTTTAAAAAATAATTAATTTATAAATATTTTGTAAACTAGTGCAAATTCATATGTTTAACCGATTCGACACATTGCAAGCGCAATCATGAACGGATAAATTGGAAAACATTTCGATTTAATGCAAACAAAAATATTTTAAAAAGAATTATCATTTATGGTGAGTGTAATTTTTCTCCATTCAGAAGAGAGTTTGATTTAATGTTACGGAATAACGGGAGAGATGAAAGGGTGAGGGGCCGCAAAGGTGGTGTCATTCTTCAATTAGGCCACTGAATAACTCATTTTCCTAACTCATAATAATCATTTTCATTATTATTTCAATACAATTCTTTTAGCCAAATCCTGGTAGTAAATGTACTTCTACGTTAATCTGCTGATATCAAATTAATTAAGCGGATAGCTTAATCTTTTTGAGTAATCAGTTCTTTATTATTATTTTTAAACCAGTAATCGGCTTTTCGTTTAAAATATAAAAGTGCTAGTCTTATTTTATCTAAAAAAATATTATTAAATTGGAAACAGTCTTGTAATTTCTTATTTGCTAGAAATTTGGCAAATATTCAACCTAGTTTGGGATATCAATACCAATCCTATCCTCCTCCATCAGCTTCTTTAACTGTCTTTATTGTACGTCAGTCTCAGCTTCTTATCGGTACCGGATTGCTTAGTTTCGATTTTATAAAGATTAAAGAGATTCTGAAGGCCTTCCAGAAGCAAATTCCTTGCTGGAAAGTGCCTTCCTATGCAAATGTTAACATCGTTTTCTAGCTATGCAATATTCAATATACAACAAATTCACGAATTGATGGTTTATAAAAGTTGTAATGCATAATATACGAATAGCACGGTTCAGATTATAACCAGCCGGCTGAATATTGTATACAAGTTTCAATAGAGTCACATTGGCTCCATTTAATAACTTTTTACAAAAAAAATCGCAATTTTAAAAAAAGTCTCTAAACTTTAAACGTAGTATCAGAGATATTTCGTCTTGCTTTACCATGTGTATGGATGAACACACTGTAAATGGAGTTATTAAAGCGGCGGAGTGCGTCCGAAAGTGAACAAACCCTCTGCCATTGTTAGGATTAATGTTATTTTTTATTGTATATTCTACCTACAACACTGTCAGATGTTACGTCAGTGATCACAACAATGTATATTCCCTCGATATGGCTTCTATGTTTGTAGTGTTCTTCCACAATAAACGTTTTCTTGTTTGTTTCGTAAAGAAATCCTAACCATTATTAACAGGCATGATCCCGACCTTAACTGAAGTCAACAAACTGAGGGTTTGTGCGTCTCTTTTGAGCGATCCTACCGAGCAAAAGTCGAAAACAGCGATCTGCAAGATAATTGAAGATTGGATTTTAATTTTAAAAAGAGCAATTGGGAGTTTGCTGATTTAATTTGAATTGTCGTATTCATAAAGTTCATCTCTCATAGATGCGGTCTTAGCTGATCCATAGAGTTTACAAACTACTGAGCACATAATTGATATTTCAATCTATGAGTTAATTTAAATTAGAAGTCGCTTATGACATTTGTATTCACACAACAAAAGCCATTTTATCATGTTCCAAAATCCGAAATACTATGTACGGAGGATAGGAACTTGAAAAAGAAAAAAAAAAAAAATCTAGTTCTGTATAGAATTTGAGAGACCTGAAGATTTTTTTTGGCAGACCTTGGCACGAGCTATTTTTCTAAATTAGCTTCCTCCCTCTTTTCCGTATTAGAAATACTTTTCCAGTTACCATTGTATACAATAATTGGTTCCCTTTTGTATTAGTTGACAACGATACACAACAGATATGAATGAAATCAATCTGTTCTCTTCTTCAACGAATAATTCCTTCAATATTAATCACTTATTGTTACATTCTTAAGTGATATTTAATTTTTTAATAAGTACCAGGGAGGAGAATTACATATCTATATAAATATATACTGAAGAGTTCTTGAACTTTCTATTTCAATTTTAAATTGCGAAGAATAAAATGTTGAAGAAACATAAGTATAAATATACAGATTTATAAATTTAAAAACTTTTATTTAGATAAATATAAATTAATTAATTAATTCAAATAGTGCCACACAATGCATTAAAATGATAATGAACAAAATCGACGTCCAATTATAAATTTTGCTATCCGAAAATTAGTTGTTTACTGTATTGAATAAAATTTACTACCCAACTCAAATAACTACTTTATTGAGAATGAAAAAAATCCTTTTATTCAGGGCGAATCGACATAAATGACAATGCAGTTTGGGAATTAGTTCACTTTAAGACAAATTAATACTTGTCACATTTGAGGATCATATTAAAAGAATCATATAAAATGATAAATTCAGATTAGCTTTCATTCCAAGTTTGCATCTAACATCAACGATATAAGAAGTTTACTGCTATATAACTGTTTGATGAATACATCAATTATAAAGTTCCTGGTACCGATCATTCATCCAAAATGAAGGTGTGGTGAACCATACAAACAACTTCAAATCCCGACAGTCTGGGATGAAACACTATGACTGTGTTTAATTGTTCCTGTATTGAACTATAATAGAATATTGACGGATTAACCGAAGCAGAAATTTTAGATAAAATAAAAACAATTAGAACATGGTATGCAGAGCTCATTAAAAAAAAAAAAAACCTGTACCACTAAAAGCCATGAAGGGTCTTGGGTTTAGTACTATTGAGGGAAAGCACTGTTTCTTTGTCAACCGTTGTGCAAGGCGGTGATTTGACTGAGATTACGCTCAACCGTCAGGTTTTTTCCCTGAATTAATTATTTAATTAAGGGTACCCACTTTATAGAGGCTGGGTGGGCCCCAGGAGGGTCTCCCTACCCAAGGTCGCCCCACGGCCAATGTAACAGAATAAATAATTTGTTTGCCATGAGCCGGGATTCGAACCTGATTAGCATTGGAAGCTCAATACCCTACCACTAAGCTACTCCACTTACTGAACTCAATATTAAGCCCCAATAATTTCTCTCATTGAAAACTATAGCTTCATCTACCGCCTTTGAACACGGTTAGTTGTCGATATACTTGCGTTTCGTTCAGGGGTGCACATCCTCTCAAGGTCGATGCTCCATTTTCAAGAAACATTATTGCCCTCTTCTTAAAAATAGTGCAATCGAAATTAGAAAAATTCTAGATCTTACAATTATGGTTTTTCTTTTTGTTCTAGTTTTAAAGTTCCACTTAATTGAAACCCCAAAAGTATATAGTTCCCTCCGAATCATAACCCCACCAAAATATGTCCTTTTCAAAAATTTAAATCCCCATAAAAATGTGTTCTCCTCAAACATTTTATGGAATAACTTACGCCATGCAACATGCTTACGCCATGCTTCTTGGCACCCCTAGTTCAGTTCATGAATAGTTCATATAGAATTAAATAAATACCCACTAGTGCACAATGCACATCGAAATTCTGTTCCGATTAAAATAATTGCTAATCATCGTTAATGAAACTCAATTGTACGAATATTCGCAAACATACAGTGCGTTGCACTTAGTATGGCTTTTTCCCCCCAAGATATCTATTATATTGTCTACAAAACTAACCTAAAAACAAAACAAAAAAAAATGTCTGAGTGAAGATGTTTTAGTCGAATAAGTAGGGGAAAACATTTATGGAAAATCTCTATATTTTTTCTATTTGATACCAATTAAAACATTGTAAAAAAAATAGAACCAACAGAGATAAAAATGGCTACTGAACTTCTATTATTCCCTTGTGACATCCATTTCCGCTGTTTACAAAGGTTTTCCTTTTTCAAGCTTCATTATTTCCTGGCCATTCTCACCATCCCCACTACCGCTATCGATACACCTCGTTACCTTTCTTCCATCTCAATCTGGATCTCTTTCCTACGTTTTATTCCTTTTTGCTCATCTTTTTTATTTGAGGAAATATGGTACATATTTGTAACGAGGCTAACAAAAGAAATACGGCGCTATAAGAGCTAACCTTACTCCTTCAAGGTTTTCGATAATTTCGTCGCTTTTATTTATCGTGAAGAAAAATTATATGTAACATCCCTTTGTCCTTGACTTTTGAAGGACCATTGGATTGTTTATCATTTTTCCAGAACTCAGAGGAACATTTCCTTCAAATACTAATTATACTATTCAATTGCCAATATTATTATTCTTATTAAAATAAATTATGAATTTTTCATTAGTAAAATTACAAAACCAACACATGAATGGTAACTACTGTGCAATACGTGATAGCAAGGCTTACGATTTTATATAATATAATACTTATAATAAATTACTTAAAATAAAAACTCGATGGTTCAATGCTGATCCAAATCCAGCCACGCAAGATCTCAAGTAATAGCACTAATTTCCGCATCTTAAGTTTACCATATGATCATAAAATTCAACGTGAGCAGCGAACGTGATGTTTTAATATTAAATGAGGAAATATTTTCTTGAAATAAATTAGCTAAATGTAATATTACAATGG